TCATTCTTTTCCTAATTCTGAAAACTCTGTCCCTCTAGTTGCAAATTCTTACTTGCTAATGTGCGGTTTTTCCTTTTTTGCTATGGGCTAGTTCATAACCTGAAGTCTTTTTTTTCCTTGCTTTTACTTTTGTTTGCATTGGTTTTATGCTGAAGCTATTCCCCAGGCCATACGTTTTTGTTTCTTCCAGGATCTCTTTTTCTTCTGTGCCACCTCTCCTTCTGGTTGAGGAGTGATCTGCCTGTCGCAGTGCGGTTCATCTTGGGGTGGCGGGCAGCTCACGCAGAGGTGATCTGACCTGGAGCTCTGCGAGCTCTGCGCCCATCCTGGGTGCTGTGTCCACCTGCGTGTGCTCAGTGACCAGAGAATCGATGTCTAATCCCTTAAGGTCAGCATTACTCTCTATTTTTAAGCAGGTGCAGCAAAAATTCAGCGCTCTTTTAGGGCCACTGACCCTGTGTCCAGCCCCACTTTTTGGCCCGGGCACACCGACCAGCTCCACCGTCGTGACGACAGAACGCACACATCGCTTCTGTAAAGTGACATCCTTCAGATACTTGATGGCTTTCGGACATGCATACCCTTGATGGCCTGGGCAGTTTCATAAGTGTTCTTAAAGTGAACACAAAGATTTGAACCTCTTGATTTGCATGATTTTGTGGGGTTTTCTGTGTCAAATGAATAGTGAACCATTTTCAGAGATCAAGCTTCAGCTTTGGATAGCAGGTTCCATGCATGACACTTCTTTCTTATGCCCAGACAGCCTCACATGGGGCTGGGTATCGTGACTGATGGGGTCTCAATCTCCTTGTCAGCTGTGACTGGTGTTGCCTATCACCCTACCCCTCTGCACTTCACTTTTTATATCCTCTGATCGTGAATTTGCCCTGAGAATGCGACTCACTCAAATGTGATCCACTTTCTGGACCTTCCTCTTCTCCCTTCTATCTCTTTCCTACCTCTTTCTCCCAAGCCATCTCTGTTACTTTGTTGTGCTAAACCAAGTCTACTAATGGCTGCGTCCTTTCTCTCAGGCTCTCCTCCACTTGCTGGGCCAGCTGGTCCCAACAGCGCCTTCACCTCTAAACTTGCGTGAGTGTGTAAGTCAGAGCCCTGCACCTTTCTCCTCTCTTGGCCTACTTCCTTATCCTCCTTAATTTTAACTCCAACACTTCACCCCAATTCTTGTCCCTTATCCAGGGGCTCCCTCACACTTTGGCCCTGACCTTCAATCGAGAGCTGACCCCCAATTCTCCAGCCCTGGCAGGCTCCCCTGTCCCCACAAGGACCCCCCTCTCCTGCTGGAGGGCCTTCAGTCTCCAGGTTGCACAACAGTGTGGCATCTGAGCTGAGAGCCACTGAGAAGCTCAGGGAAGGAGAGAGGGAAGGAAGTGTTTGCTCCCACCACCCTCCTCGCTCCTCAACTGCCCCTTTAAATATTTGCCTAAGCCTCTAGCAGGAAGTGTCCTAGGAGGAGTGAGAGAGGGAGAAGGGAGGAAGGGGGGAAACATCCTCCTCTCAGCTGTGTGCAGCCCCAGCCATGTGCAGTTGCTAGATGTGGGAGACAGGCCGCTTCCAGGGCCTCCACTCCTGCCCCTGGTTGTCCTGGCAACACTGGGATTGATCAGCTGACTCACATGTACTGGGCCTGAACCAGGTGGGCAGCAGGCCAGTGGGAGAGCCAAGGAGAACTGCAAGCATCTCGGGGTCCCCAGGGGCATCTCGGGCCGCATAGTCCAGCTGTGGGGGTTGTTCTGATCAGGCGCTGTATGTAGGGCTTGCCATCATCATGTGGTGCTGGGAAACAGGTCTCTCTCTCTGGTCCTCAGGCTCCCCTTCAGGATGCCCTTAGGCTGTAGTTCTCATGAACGTTACAGCTCTTTTCTTTATTTTTCTTTTCTTTTCTTTCCTCATTTTGCCTGTTCAGAAACTGAGGAAGGAAAGGTGCCCTCAAGTTTCCTAAGGGAAGTTTCGATGCTGGCACCAACCTGGCAGAGGTCTTGAGAACCCTGGAGAAGGGAGGAGGGAGGGACCTCTGGCCGGGCACGCAGAGTTGGCACCTCACCCCCCCACCAGCCTCCTCCCTTCTTGGCCTTTACTTAGGCCGTTTCTCCCTCCTGGAAAGCCCACCCTCAACGCCTCTCCACCTCTCTGAATACCACCCACCCTAAAAGGCCGAGCAAGAACAAATGGCACCCACTCTATGACCTCACCCCCCCAACCCACAGAGCCCCCTCCCTCCTCCAAAATCTCCCAGCCTCCCTGCCTCACTTTCACCTGCCACTGAGCACACATTGCTGTTCTCATCAGCGACATGGGTGCTTTTTGTTGCCCCTGTCTTCCCGCCCAGGCTGCCGGCCCTGGGACCAACCCTTGGATCAAGCTTCCCCGGGCTTCCTTGCGCCTGCCACAGGGCAAAGAGCGTGCACACAGCCAATGTGTAGTTATGTTCAATGAAGAGACTGTCAGCAAACACGAGGGGGCTCCCGGCCAGCAGCCAATAGTTCATTCCTTCAGTATGTGGAGGTCTCAGTGCTTCATGGCCAGCTCTGAGGCCCTGAGTCATTCTGCCTTTCTCGCCTTTAGTGTGTTCACCTGTGAAATGGGACAAGTACTGCCTGTCCTGTCCCCCTCTCTAAGCTATTGTGAGGATCCAATGACATCCCGATGTGGAAGGGCAATCGTCATGATTGTCACCATCAGCTTCATCCCTCACGGCAGCTCTTCTCACTAGCTAAGAATAGGACCCAGGCTCCCCCTTTGTCTGTCGCTGGGTTAAACCCTCTGAGAACTGGGGGTGGTGGAGAGCCCATGGCAGCCACCCTTCTCTGTGTGCCTCCCCTTTCCTCCTTCCAGCCCTCAGCTGCAGGGAGGGGACAAGATTCACTCTGCCCTTTGTGTGCTGGGCAGAGCTGTGCCAGGGACTGGTGGGGACAGTGGCCCAGCTGCCCCAGCCACCCTCCCCACTCCTATTGCTTGTCTTCCCACAAGCTAGCATGGGGTGGGCAGCACGGGCAGCTGGATGGGGAGTGGCAGGTGGGGATCAAAGGACGGGGCATCCCTGGCTGGGAGAACACGGACTTAAGCTCAGACCGGAGAATCCCCTGCTGGCAGAGGCTAGGGACAGCTGGGGAAGCATCTGAAGCCCAGCCATCTCGGTTTCCTGGACTGACATGGAAAGAGCACTAGACTGGACCACCTGACCTCCAGGCTCCCCTTGTCCTGTACCTGTGAGCTCTTGGGACAGCACCCCCCCATACACCTCTGGGAGGTAACATGGTATAGAACAGCAGTTCTCAAACTTTTTGGCTTCAGGACCCCTTAACACTTTTAAGTATTGAAGGCTCCGGCCCTGTGGCGTAGTGGTTAAGTCCCATGTGCTCTGCTTTGGTGGCCCTGGTTCACGGGTTCGGATCCTAGGTGTAGACCTACACCACTTGTCAGCTATGCTGTGGTGGCGACCCACATACAAAATAGAGGATGATAGGGGCCGGCCCAGTGGCACAAGCGGTTAGGTGCATGTGCTCCACTGCGGCGGCCCGGGGTTCGCCTGTTCGGATCCCGGGTGCGCACCAACGCACTGCTTGGCAAGCCATGCTGTGGCGGCGTCCCATATAAAGTGGAGGAAGATGGGCACGGATGTTAGCCCAGGGCCAGTCTTCCTCAGCAAAAAAAGAGGAGGATTGGCAGATGTTAGCACAGGGCTTATCTCCTCACACACACACACACACACAAAATAGAGGAAGATAGGCACAGATAGGCTCAGGGAGAATCTTCCTCACCAAAATAAAAGTATTGAAGAGCCTAAAGAGATTTTGTTTATGTGGGTTATATCTATTGATATTTACTGAGAAATTTAAAAATATTTATTAAATATGAATTAAATTAAAATAGCAATAATAAATTCATTATATGTTAAAACATAAATAACAAATTTTTAAATGAAAATAACTATTTTACAAAGCAAAAAAATTAGAGGGAAGAGTGTCATTGTTTTATGTTTTTGCAAATTAATTTCTGCCTTAATAGAAGATACATGATGTAGCCGCTGGAAAATTCCAGGGTACTTTTGAGAGAGCATGAAAGTGAAAAGGGCAAATAATGTCTTAACATTCTTAGGAAATTTGTTTTGACCTTAAAGACGCCCTGGAAGTTCTCAAGGACCCTGGGGCTCCCTTGGCCACATTGAAGCCCCCTGGTTAGAAGAATGGCTGTGACTTCGGAGTTGGGCGGAGTGGGTTAAATCCCTGCCCTGTCACTTGCTTTTTCCTTGTACTGTGGGCCCTGCTCTTCTCATCTGTAAAAGGGGATGAATGTCCACTACCTCAGGAGGCTGACAGGATTAAGTAGGTGGAGTACACACACTTAGTGGAGGTGGTATCAAGCTCGGCTGCTTTCCTCTTGGTTTGGGCCTCAGTTTCCTCATTTGTTAAACAAAGGGCTGGACTGGAAAACATCCAAGGCTCTTCCAGCTCCCACAGGCTGTGGCTGTGTAGTGAGAAATGTTCCAAAATTCCACACGTTCCCACTCCAACCCCAGTGACATTTCTCTTTTCAGCTAACAGACACAAAGGCACATTCTGTTCACTAGCCTGTGGAAACACATGTGAACACAGATACACAAGTGTCACTTATGTTATGCCATGAGCTCTGCTTAGAGGATGTGTCCCCTGAAGGCCAAGACATATGCGCACGTATACAGAGGCACATGGATGCATAATGCCAAATGCCTCCACAAGAGAAGATGTGCATGTGCCGGTACAGACAGAGGTGTGCCGTCATAGGATGCACATATGTACCTCACACGCACGCACTCACGCAGAGACGCTCTGAGCGCCAGACACACACACGGAGCAGACGGCCCCAAGGACCGCCGGGGCGCACAGCAGCCAGGGCCGCAATCACTCCTTTCCTCGGCTACTCCCAGCCCAGGACTCCCCGCTCCGCCCCGCGCGCGCCCCCGCCGCCGCCGCAGTCCGCGTCCACTGCCGCTGGGCAGCCCTCGGCTCGGCTTCCGGCTCCGCGCGTCTCTCCAGCCGGCTCTCCGGTGCGAGCAGGGGAGGGGCCCGCAGCCGGCGGGCGCCCGAGGGCTGGTGGAGTCTGCTTTCCGCTGCGGGCGGCAGGGCCCCTAGCTGTGGCAGCAGCTGCCGGTGGCCAGGGGTGCCAGCGCCCGCGCAGGGTGGCGGAGCGGTGGGGCGGGGCCGCGGCCCGTGGCCCCGGGAGAGCCGCAGGCAGCATGGCGGGGCTGCGGGCCAGGCGGGGCTCCGGGCTCCGGCTGCTGGCGCTGACCACTCTTGGCTTCTGCCTAATGCTGCAAGTCGGTGCCAAGAGGCCCCCCAAGACGCCCCCCTGCCCTCCCAGCTGCTCCTGCACCAGGGACACCGCCTTCTGCGTGGACTCTAAGGCAGTGCCCAGGAACCTGCCCTCCGAGGTCATCTCTCTGTGAGTGCAGAGCTCTGGGGGGTGGAGTGGGGGAGGAGGGCAAGAACTGCTCTGGGAGTGGATGGGGAGAACCCCTGCTTCCCTCCCTCATAGAGTATGGGGACTAGGGTGCCAAGGGGTCCTCAGGATAGAGATTCAAGGCATCAGCTGGGCAGGGAGTTCTGCAGTCACGCAGGCTCAGCAGCCGTGGCTGGGGAAAGCAGGAGTTTATAGCCAAGAATGAATCATCACCACCATCAGCATCAACGAGACCTACTGTGTGCAGGGCTCTGAACATGGGGGCAAGGGGGTTGTTTACTACATGAGCATGTGGACCTTGCCTGTGATGTCACACCAAGGGCAGAGAGGCTTCTTGTGGGGAGAGAGAAGGTGGCAGCAGGGGGAGGGGAGGAAGTGAGATATACCCACATAGTGCCCTGGCATGGGGCAGACGGCTGCCACTGGTCTGGCCAGCCACTCTGCACCGGGCCAGCCAGCCTGTCACTTGCAGCAAGCGGCCTCAGGGACTAGATAGGCTGTGTGGTCCTTGAGAGCAGGATGCTAATCCCCCACCCGCATCCCAGTGCTCCATCCCTCAGCAGCACTCAGCACACTGTTTGGATGATCCTGAAGATGTGGGTAATGGAACGTTCTTCAGGCTGAGCGGAAAGCACACCCTGGGGCCATTGGTGCTCAGGGAGGCAGTAGGGGAGGATAATGATAAAGGAAGGCAGTGAGTTTGTGAGGAGAAGAGAAAGCGTGGGGGGTAGAGGGGCAAGCCTGGTGAAATGGGGAGTTTTCAGGGCGAGTGCATACAGAAGCCATTGCCCTGTCCACCTCGCAGGGTGGTCCCAGCCCAGTCCCTGCCTACTCCCCATAGTACTGACTCAGATGTCCCCTGCAGGACGCTGGTGAATGCTGCCTTCTCAGAGATCCAGGACGGAGCATTTTCCCACCTGCCACTGCTGCAGTTCCTGTACGGACGGGGCCTTGTGGAAGGGCGGGTGGGGGTGCAGTGGAAGGGGACAGATCTTGTACTGGGGAGAGGAGAGAGAATGTAGGTAGCCTTTGGAGGTTAAGATGTGAGTGTCCCTTACTTTCACTCCAATGGGATAGCCACAAAAGGTGGAGCAGCCTGGAGTCAAGAGGGGTTCAGGGAGCAGCAGCTGGGGAGAAGGAGGGTAAGGGATGCAAAAGCCAAGAATGGGGTTTTTGGGACCCAGTTAGGAATGGACTTGCCTCCTCTAGAGACCCAAAGGAATTGGGTGCAATAACTTGGGCTAGTGCCGGAGGGTGGATGCCACAGGGGAGAGGGGTCATCTTAGAGACTGGTGACCCCAGAGATCAGGATTTGAAGAAAGAGCTGGGGGCTGAAAGGGAGGGAAGTTGGGAGAGTCTGGAATTCTAAAAGGGGCTCTTTACATTAGAAGTCCCAGTCACACGAAAGAGTACATGTGAGTTACCCCACCTCCTTCTCATCGAGGGTTATCCTCAAACTCACCATCAGTTGGAGAGGGACTGGAATCAGCTGGGGTGAGGGTGGGAGCCAGAGAGCAGAGATGCAATGGGAAGGACCCAGCTTAACAGGAGAGGCCTGTCCCTGACTGTTTTTACCCTAGAAGCAAACAGGGCCCCTGGGAGGCTGCAATATGCTCCTGCCTAGTCTTGCTGCCCATGCTACTCTGGGGCTCTTTGCTGGGGTCTGGAGGGTGGGAGGCAGGGCAGCCAGCTCTTGAGGAAGCCTCGGGTGAGGTGGCAGGCTGGGGGCTGGTGCAGCTGGCACACCCTTGGAAGCTCTAATTCCATCTTTGTCTCTCCAGGTTACTCAACTCCAATAAGTTTACTCTGATCGGAGACAACGCCTTCACAGGACTGTCGCACCTGCAGTACCTGTGTGTAGGAAGGAAAGAGGAAATGGGAAGATAGAAGGGAGGCGGGGGCTCCTGGGTGGGCTAAGAGGGGAGATTGAATGAGGAAGGCTGGGGGGAAGAGGGGGAAGAGGGGGGAGGTGAGAGCCCTTGAATCCTCTGACTGCAGGGCCTGAGCAGAGGGTCATTTCATCCATCCTTCTGCCTAAACCATCCTGCCTAAATGCCTTGTTACCACAGGCTTAATGTCTCCAGATTCAGAATGGAAGCCTGTCCCAGGGCCATGGGCTGGGATCTAGGTAGGGTAGGGAAATAGCTGATCGGAGGTCCGGGGTCCTGAGTGGCACCTGAGACAAGCTCTCGTTTTCTCCAGCTTCATTGAGAACAATGACATCTGGGCACTATCCAAGTTCACCTTCAGAGGACTGAAGTCTCTGACCCACCTGTGAGTACATCGTGCACATACACACACTGGACCAAGTCCTCGTCTCCTGTGGTCTTTGGCCTCTGTCACGATCTTCAGATGACCCAGGGGTCTCTCTTGCAGCTCACTGGCCAACAATAACCTGCAGACACTGCCTAGAGACATCTTTCGGCCCCTGGATATCCTGAGTGACTTGTAAGGCCTGACTCCTACCTCTTTTGACAATGCTACAGAGGGCGCGTCCCTGGAGGGGGTGGTGCGGGAGCCAGAATTGGGAAGATCATAAGGTCTTGAGAGGCCAGGAGGGCTTGGGTTTGGGGGGGGCCTCTGAGAAGGCTAAGTTGAATTATATAGAGATTGGTAGCCTTCTAAGTTGGGGTTCCTCAAGGCGTCTGTGGGCTCTCTTAAAATGCACATGAGACAGTATGTGTAAATGTTTTTTAAACATGTGCTTTTTAAAGGTATGTTTGATTTGAACCTACATTAAAGACAGATAGCATACCCACCATCATTGATCAGTATTTATACAGGAAAACAAAAGCCCTGGATTGTGGGAGGTTTGAAGGAACTGGGATGCAACATATCGCTGTGTAGGTTATACACTGCAAAAGGCACCTGCCCGAGGAGGCGAGTAGGGGCTGGAACTCAGGCCCCACTCTACTGGCCAAGCACAAGCATGTGTCCACGGGGCTGCATCCACCCGGAGGGGAACGTTTTTCTAATCGGCAGAAAGATGCCATGTGGGCAACCAGCAGCAGCCTTGACAATATTTGTTTCTGCAAATCTAGAGGCCTGGGTGGGCAGAGCAGCTGAGAGCCTGTTCCTCTCTGTGTCCCTTCCATCACCCTCATGATGCAGGGACCTGCGAGGCAACTCACTCAACTGTGACTGCAAGGTGAAGTGGCTGGTGGAGTGGCTGGCGCACACCAACACCACGGTGGCCCCCATCTACTGCGCCAGCCCGCCCCGCTTCCAAGAGCATAAGGTGCAGGATTTGCCTCTGCGGGAGTTTGACTGCATCACCACCGGTAGGAGGTGCCCTGCCTTGGGCATCGGGCTGGGCCTCCCCAGGGCAGCTCCACAGGCACTGCCAGAACCTCCGACACCTGCCTCGCCTGTCGAGCGACTCTACCACCCAACAAACTCTTACCCTTCTTCCTCCTCCCCACCCCCCTCATCCCTGCAGATTTCGTGCTGTACCAGACCCTGCCCTTCCCAGCAGTGTCGGCCGAGCCCTTCCTTTACTCCAGCGACCTCTATTTGGCTCTGGCCCAGCCAGGTGCCAGTGCTTGCACTGTCCTCAAGTGGGACTATGTTGAACGGCAGCTTCGAGACTATGATAGAATCCCAGGTACCTGTGCCCCGTCTGGCTGGGTGGGCCCCGACTAGGGGGATTGGGGTGGGGTGGGCTCCCTTGTTCCTCTCCATTGAGTTCCTGTAGGTAGAGGGATAGATGAGACCTGGTCTCTGCCCATAAGAACTTTCTAGTCTTTGAGAGGAGGCCGATACATACACAGATAACATCTATATAATTGGTAGGTGCTAGGAGGGAAATATGAACACAATGCTCTGAAAGCACAAAGGAGAGGCCTACCCAGGGCAATCAAGGAAGGCTTCCTGGTGGAGGGGATGCCTAAGTGGAGACTTGAAGGATGGCCGAGAAGGAGGAGTCAGAGGTGATGCCCAGGTTCCTGGCTTAAGTAACTGGGCAGTGCTGGTGAACTGAGAAGGAGGAGATAGGAGTGGCTAGTGAGCTCCCTTTGGGATCCACTGAGTTTAAGCTGAGTCTGGAAGGCTGAGGGAGACTTACTGACGAGAAAAAATGTGGGAAGGGTGTTCTGGCAGAGGGAACAGCATGAGCAAAGTCAAGAAGGTATGTAACAGCTTAGTGTGCAAGCACATGCACGTGTAAACAATATGCAGCTCATATGAGTACAGCATGAGGCTGAGGTGGAGGGTGGCAGACGAGACCCGAGGAGATGAGGACCAGGTCAATGACAGGCTTTGAGCAGAGTGTGTGACCCAGTCCAATCCGTATTTTAGAAAACTTCCTCTGTGAGCAGCATGGAGGGTGGCCGGGCAGGGGCAAGACATGTGGGCAAACCAGTAGGGGATTAGCTGGAGCCAGGACCTGGGCAGGAGCAGTGGGGATGGAGAGATACATTTAGAAGGGAGGACTGAATGGATGCAAGAGGAAACAGAAAATTTAAATTGTCCTCTATCTATGAAAGAACTTGAAGTCATTATAAAAAAATCCTTCCCCCAAAAGAAGACTCCAGGTCCCGATGGTCTCCCTGGTGAATTCTATCAAACGTTTAAGGAAGAAATTACGCCAATCTTACACAAACTGTCATAGGAAGCCTGGACTTGGGGACTGCTCACCTGTGGGCGAGTGAGGGAGAGAGAGGTGTTGGGGATGGCTCCTGGTTTCCTGGATGGGGTGACTGCGTGGAGCCACAGATGGAAGTCGAGAACAAGGAGGAGGAGGAGGAGCAGGTTCCGGGGTGGATGTGGAGCTCAGTTTTGCCAGCTGGAGTTTGAGGTGCTTGTGGGTGTGTGTGGGCACGGAGGGTGTGCACTGAGGCTCGGGGCTGGGGGAGCATCAGCGTCTGGGGGGACAGACCAAAGCCGTGGAAGGGATTCGGGCGGTGACTGCCAGAGCCTGGGACTCAGCACAGGCTTCCCTTGGGGGAGAGGCCCAGTCACCGGGAGGAGGAACGTGGGTGAAGCGGCGCTGGCGGGGAGGAGAGGAGAGGCGATGACTGGGGACACCAGGACAGGTGAGGGGTACGACCCCACAGGCCTTGGGTGCCTGAGAAGGGTCAGAGCAACATGGTTGTGAGCACAGTGACCTTATGCAGACGTTCTCCTATGGAACAGCCCTTTCCACAGTGGGGGCTCTCAGGAGAGTGTGTTTTAATGCACAACTATGCAGACATCAAGCTGTCATCTTACACCGGGGCTTGATCACCGGGCTGTGGACGAGCTCACACTCTCCCCCTCCCCTGCCTGGCCACTTGCCAGCGGGGTAGCTTCAGGCAAGTCACTTAGACTCCGAGCCTCAGTTCCTTTTGGTGTGAAATGGCAAAATGATAGGGTGCATTTCAGAGTGATTAATTGAGGCAGTGTGTTCAAATTATCACAGTGACCACACACAATAAAAATTCAATAATTGACATTACGGTTAAACAATCGGTCAAAATCTAGGAACACCTATTTTGTGCTCAGTCTCAGCTTGTATTTGAACCCTGGGGGCAGAGGTGGAGGGAGGGTGATGCTGAGGCTGATTATTAGCTGTGAAACAATGAGAAAGCACCGAGTGCCCAGTAGATGACCTTGAGGGGAAAGGAATATTGTAGCAGACAGCCTTGGTCTTGGCCCAGGGTTGGAGGGGACTGACCCTCTTTCCAAGGGTGCAGCACAGGGCGAGGGCACACGGGCCGCCTGACGCTGCCTCCCCGCATCCTGGCAGCCCCCTCTGCAGTGCACTGCAAGCCAATGGTGGTGGACAGCCAGCTGTATGTGGTTGTGGCCCAGCTGTTTGGCGGCTCTTACATTTACCACTGGGACCCCAACACCACGCGCTTCACCAAGCTGCAGGACATCGACCCGCAGCGCGTGCGCAAGCCCAATGACCTAGAGGCCTTCCGCATCGACGGTGACTGGTACTTTGCCGTGGCCGACAGCTCCAAGGCGGGCGCCACCAGCCTCTACCGCTGGCACCAGAATGGCTTCTACTCCCACCAGGCCCTGCACGCCTGGCACCGTGATACCGACCTGGAGTTTGTAGACGGCGAGGGCAAGCCGCGGCTGATTGTGTCTAGCAGCTCCCAGGCGCCTGTCATCTATCAGTGGAGTCGCACCCAGAAGCAGTTTGTGGCCCAGGGTGAGGTGGCTCAGGTGCCTGACGCCCAGGCTGTGAAACACTTCCGCGCCGGCCGCGACAGCTACCTGTGTCTCAGCCGCTACATTGGCGACTCCAAGATCCTGCGCTGGGAGGGCACGCGCTTCTCCGAGGTGCAGGCCCTGCCCTCCCGGGGCTCGCTGGCCCTGCAGCCCTTTCTCGTGGGTGGCCGCCGCTACCTGGCACTGGGCAGCGACTTCTCCTTCACACAGATCTACCAGTGGGATGATGGGCGACAGAAGTTTGTGCGGTTCCAGGAGCTGGCTGTGCAGGCCCCTCGGGCCTTCTGCTACATGCCTGCTGGAGACGCTCAGCTCCTCCTGGCCCCCAGCTTCAAGGGGCAGACGCTTGTGTACCGACATGTCGTGGTGGATCTCAGTGCCTAGGGGGTGCCGAGGCGTCTGGGTTCCTCGAGCAGCCGCTGGAGGCTGGGTGGGAGCCTCTGTGTGAGCAGCATGTGTGCCGGTGTGAAGACACGTGTAGCCAACCTGCATAGGTGCCCTCACGTACGTACACTCCGGTGAGCATGGGCACACACGGTGGACTAGCCCAGGGGAGCCACTTATCATAGTTGTAATCAGCATGAAGACTCATATATGCACCAGGCAACCCAGCACCTGGTGCCCTCCCATATGTGGACACCTCTTTACCCCACACTCCATCTGCAGGCCTGCCTCGCTCTGCTGCCTTCCACACGCTCTGGCCCTGGGGGCAGGGTGCTGAGAGGGAGGCTGAACTTCCCCCTCCTGTTCTCCACTTATTATTCTGACTCTCTGGTGTTTCCTGTTGGTGCTCTAGGTGTCTGTGTACCTGCTCATGCTCCACATTGCAGCCCACAGCCACATCCTTCATACTGCTGGGTGCACTGACCCATGCTACGCTCCTTCTGCGTGCACATGTGGACACTGACGGCCACCCTCAGGCACATGCACACACACCTGTCTACACTCCTGTTTTCACGTGCACACATGCAGATTCAGCACTGCCTGAAGCTTCCCCTCTGTTACCTTGCCTGTCTTCTTAGAGGGGCACACAGTACCCGTCCTCCTATGCTCACCCCTGGTATGCCCGCCCTGCGGCTGACACAGATGGGAATGGTGATGCCAGCCTCTGTGCACCAGCTTGACCTCTGCCTGAAGCCCCAGATCCCCTGGCTACTTCCCAGTGCTGGCTCTGTTCTCACCGGAGTTCCCTTCCTGACCCTGAATTGGGCTCGCCCGTGTATAGGAGACCACCCAGATGAAAACCTTTCTGCTCTTCTTTTCTCTAGCTGCCCCAGCCTCGGACCACTCCCTGGTTCAGCCCCATGTTTGGGCTGTGGACCCTGAACTGTCCTGGCTCCTTTGGGTGTGTTCAAGAGCTGGCCGAGCCAGGGACCCTGCAAGCACCTGAGCCATCAGGGCAGGTGCCGGGAGTGCAGCTGGGCTGGAGAGCATCTTGGGGGCCCTGGGACCTCTCTAATCCACAGAGGCACACCCCAGGAGCACTGCCTTTCAGTGCAAGCTGAGTGGTGGAGGGGATGAAGGTCCTATGGGAGTGGCACCTGGGAGCCAAGCTTCTGCTGCCCTCTGCTGTATGCTGGGAATAGACAGCTCTGAGATGCAAGGCTGCTGGAGAAGGCATGGGGTAGGCAAGCTCTTCCCTGTGTCCAGACTGTGTGAGGGCCGCCTGGTGGTAGGATGCCCAGGGGCATTGGTGGGCAATGCCATGATTCACTTGCTTTGAATAAAAAGTTCCCACCCCATTGCTGGCTCTCAGATGTCCAATGGTGACGGTCAGCCGCAGCTGTTTCATTAAGAACAGAGCCAGGGCCGTGCTATCCTTGTTGCTGGCAGGGGCCCTGCATCAGTTTTCAGACCGCCTTCCTCCCTGCTCCCTTCCCTCCAAGGAGTGAGTGATAACCCCCAAGGTCAGCAGGTGCTGGGGTCAGGAGTTCATGGTGATGACACTCAGGTGCTGGGTGAGTGTGACTCGTCTCCACCACCTGGGGCTGACTCATGGCCCAAGTGTTCCTTCCTGGAGATCACAGTCTTGGGGCCCACTGAGACTGTAGTCTGTGCCTCTGTCAGGTCAACTCCAACCAATATGACCCAAGATAAGCGCAGCAGTCCCTGCCACCCCCCATCCCACTGGGCAGATGTCTGTCATTGCCACCACCCTCTGCCCTAGGGATGAGATTTCAAGCACGTCGACGCATTTCTGGAGCCTCAGCTGCTACTTCTGGAAAGCAGATAATAAAACCTACTTTGTTTAGTCCTGATTCTGCCACCTACTAGGTGGGTAGCCTCGACCATGTTACTTAGCCTACTCATATCTGAGTTTCCTCACCTGTAAAATGTAGATAATCATGATACCTACCTGAAGGGTTAGTGTGAGATTTAAATGCATTAAATATATAACATACTAATATATGTAATGCCCTTAGAATAGTGTGCCTGGCACAGAACTATGATTTTTATTGGTCTGTAGCACTATATGAAATACAGAGGTGGCTCAGATAAGGGTGTTTTGTGGGAGCGGAGGTTGCTCTTTGGAGAGAACTGTCTGTGGATTAGGGGTCCTTATGCATCCTCAGATTCAGCGCCCCTGTACCCTATGTCTTACCTGTGGCCTCAGGTGCCCAGCCAACCCAGCCCTGACCACTCCTCACAATGGGGAGTCTCATAGGGGATGTGTCTGAGTTTCCACCTCCTTGAACCACGTTCATGTGCTCTTGGCTCAGCAGGCATCCCTCAGGTCCCCCAGCCCCACTGTCCTGGGAATGTCTGTCCTGCTTTTTCAAATGGGGAACGGGCCTCATGCTGTGCCAGGAAGAGGTTGCCAGGGAAAGAGGGTTGAGTCTCCCAGACACGTTGGCACTTTGTTGCCCAGTAGAAAGATAAATATCACTCTGACTGTACCCTCGCCCCCACCATGACTCCTTCCAGCGGTGGGAGACACTTCTCCCCCTGAATGCCCAGCTTTCTGCACGCAAGGAATTGAGCTGTCTGTATGGCTGCCTGGTCACCTGCCCTGGGGGGTCATCCATGTGTCCAGAGAGCTGCTTAGCAACCCAGTGTAACTGAATGACTGTGTCAACAGCTCAGGACCAAAGGCCGTGAGAGGCAGAGTCCACTCACTCTGCCAAAGCCGAGGAGGCTGACACCCCTCAGCTGCCAGCCTCACACCCCTCCATGCTGAGCCCTGCTTTCAGCAGCACACCTCTGACATCTTGTCCCTTAGATGTCCCAAGCACAGTCATCGGCCCCAGGAGTCTCCACGTGAGAGACCTTCCTAACTGGGTGGGCTTAGAGTGGGCACAGGAGAGCTCCTCCCCAGTGAATTGGGGGGAAAGAGAGGCCTGTGATGCTGAGGTCAGGTGTGTGACTCTGGAGGGCAGCTGGTGGAGAGGAGGCAGTTCTGCAGCAGGTACCGAGGACCTGAGGCTCACATGCACACAGTCAGCTCAAGCACCCTTACCTCTGAGGAATGGATGGCTCTTGCTTGTTCTGCAATCCCCTGCTCCTCCTGAGCTGGCCCCCTACTGAGTCAGTCACATCCTTCTGCTGCAAGGAGACAAGGATACTTTTCATCTGGATTACAATGTCTATGCCTAGAGATGGATGGTGGGATCCTAACCCTTGGCGGTTCTTGTTCCTCCAGTGTAGGACAGGAGCTGGGCCCAGAGTGAGGGAGCGGTTAGGCAGGTAGAGGGAGGCCTCAGGGCCTCAGGGGAGTTTCTCCTGTAGCCGGTTTCACTGCAAGCTCTCACACCCAGCAACACCAATAAAATTGATGATAATAATTAAGAGCATATAATCACCGTGTGTGTTTATTCCCAAGAAGGCTCCTTTCCCTGGCCTGGTCCTTACCTATTCCATCCCTTTGATAGGTGGTGGGTGTTAACTATGGCTCTAATAAAAAGTAACAACTGCCCCAGTGTCCCGCGCCCACAGCTCTGAGCAGCTCTGCTGTCCCCCTTACCTCAGCCCCTGAGGGCAAGCTGTGCAGGGTGGGGGGATGCTGTGCTCCCCGTCGTCAGAGGAGGAATGAGGCACTAAGCAGAAGAGGAGCAAAGAATGCAACCCCACATGGAAAGTTGTAGAAGCAGCAAAGTTTGCCCTCTCTTTTGAGCCTCTGCCTTCTTCCAGGTATACACCTTCCTCAGGGAGGAGCTCCTGGGTTCCCTGTCCCCTCCCAAGGCTGCCCTCAGAGGACTGATCAAGCCAAGCATTTACCCGTTGTCTGGCAACAAGTGCCACCAGGGGACATTGGGCAAGTTTCTTTTCATCACTGCGTGAGCCTATTTCCTAAATGAGAAAAAAGGATCAAGACCTTGCACACAGAAATGCACTACAAAATGGGGATCTTTGAGGTTATTAAGCCCTCAGGGATATTTGTGCTCTTTACTCACAGGAATAGGTGGAAGTTCAGACTTCCGGGGAAGAAGGCATGGGGGGCTGGGGGCTCTGCCCAGAATCCCCGAAATCATCACGGTCAGCCTGCCCAGGAGTGTGGGCCCTGGAAGGGTACCCCAGAGAGAGGTTAACTCCCGAAGTTGAGTCGGATGGGAGATGAGGCCCTCAGGTTCCCTCTCCCCTACTTTCTCCCAGCTTCCCCTTTAGGTCAACTGCACATCTTTGAGGCGTTGACTGACTCCTGACCCAATGGTGTAAGAGCTGATTTGCTGGCGCTCAGCCAAGCCTCCTTCCAGTTTGTGCCTGGGCCTTGCGGGGGGACCTCCGCCCATCATATGCCCTTTCCCATTTTACAGGAGGGGAAACACGAGGCAAAAGGGGGAAGCCAGTGAAGACCCACGGAAACTCAAGTCCACATTTCTTTTTTCCTCCTACTCCCGCCCCATCTTGTTTTTTTTTTTTTTTGCCGCTTCTCATCCCCTAATCTTTCCGGTTAGGACCGCGACTCAACCTAGGGACCCCACACACGAGGCGGGGGCGCATCGCCGCTTTAAAGGGCAGGCCGCTCGCCTCGCCCCGCCCCCCGGGGCCGCAGTGCGCCTGCGCCGGGCGCCGCAGCCCGGGGTTGGGCAGAGCCCGGTGCCGTGCAACTTTCAAGTGAGCTGCAAACTCCGCCCCGAGGCCGGGCCGGTGGCCGGGCGCAGTGGGATCCCGGAGACCGCACGAGTGAAGGCCGCGACCCGCCACTCGCGCCCCGGCCCCCGCCGCGGCGCCCTGCGAGGGCCGAACGCCTGGTTCCCCGCGGCAGGGAGTGCGAGTCGAGCGGAAACTGCCTGGCGGCGCGGCGGGGCAGAAGAGCGCGCCCGCCGGTACCGGCTCCTGAGTCGGTGCCTCCGCGTCCGGCCTGCTCGCCCGGCCTGCTGGGCTCCCCCTTCTTCCGGCTCCCCGCACTGCGAAGTTAGGGGGCGGCGCCCCTCTGGTTCCCGCTCCTCCGCTCACTCCCCCATCCCGGCCCTGCAGGAGCGTCCCTCTGGGCATCTTCTTGGGTGGTCTCCCTTCTCCCCCGAGGCTGCAGGATGGTGTCCTGGATGATCTGTCGCCTGGTGGTGTGAGTATGGCAGCTCTCATACCCCCTCTATCCCGGGTGCCAGCCCGGCCCTGGGGTGGCAACTGGGAACGTCTGGTGGGAAAGGGGGCTTTCTGAGCTCCGTCACACCTGTCCCCTCCCCCGCCCTCCCACCCTCACAGCAAAGGTTAACGGACCTGTGGGCCTGCACGCGGCATCCAGCAGGGCTTGCTTGGCCCCCAACCCCCAAAGCCTCCTTGGCGGATGGCGACCCCTTCCGCACTCACACACACACTGCAGACAGGTGCGTGGGGCGGAGGACCACGGGCCGGACCGCAGCCCTTTGGCAAACACTAGGTGTTGTGGCACGTTGTGGGCGGAGAAGCCGTTGTGGGCCTGCTTCCTAGCTGAGCCATCTGTCACGTGACTCACCACCCTGGCCTCAGCCTCCCTACTCTGTCTTACTCGTCACCTTTCGGTACTCCAGCTGGAATAACCCTGTCTGCAGCCTGGCAGTGCCAGGTCTCGTGGCCATGGGCCTGACTGCATGTCCATGGGAGGGGACAGTGGTGCTCTCCTCAGCTCAGAAGTCTGCCTCCCACCCACGTTGTTGAGTGGTTGTGTGTGCTCTCTGTTCACCACGTATCCATGGGCCACCAGTGCAGGCCTGGGCAGGCTTAAGATGTTTGTAAACAGCAGGGTGGGGAGGGCAGCTTCCAGGGCACTGACTCAGGTGCAGGTTGTGCAAGCCAAGCGGGAAGAACAGGGTAGGCATTGCTGCCTCACACCGAGGGGGAGGCGGCCACCTGGTGAAGCGTGGTGGGGCATGGTGCCCCTCACTCTCCCCCTCGGTTTTCTGGCTGTTCTTCCAGGCTGATGTTTGGGATGCTGTACCCAGCTTATGCTTCGTACAAGGCTGTGAAGACCAAGAACATTCGTGAATACGTGAGTGTGGGGGTGAGGGGCTGGGCAGGAGGGTTTGACTCAGGTGGGGTGGAACGACAGCCTTGGGGGGGGTATGGTAGGATTGGTGGGGTGGGGAGGGTCTGAGCTGGCCTCCCCCTCCTCCAGGGGCTTAATCGGGAGGTGTATCTTGGGTGAATAGCTGTGGATGGAGGGTGGGCTATTGGGGTTCCTGTGCAGGATCTTGTGGGTGAAGCCTATTGGGGGTGGGTACAAGAATGAGTAGCAGTTTCTCAGAGGCAACTCTCTAGCCAGATGGCAGGGGAATGCAGCGGGACGTGCTCTCTGGAATCCCTGGGCTGGGTCAGTCCAGGACAGGGGAGTTGGCTCTTCAGGCTTAGCCGCTGGCCTCTGACCTCTGCCCCCGCCCCACAGGTCCGCTGGATGATGTACTGGATAGTCTTTGCACTCTTCATGGCGGCAGAGACCTTCACAGACATCTTTATTTCCTGGTATGGGGGCAGCGGGGCTGTGGGCTGTGGGGAGCAATGGCCCACCCTCTGCCTGGCTCCCTGGCTGCCCTTGTCCCCCTGTGCTCTGACAGGTTCCCTTTCTACTATGAGATCAAAATGGCTTTTGTGCTGTGGCTGCTCTCGCCCTACACCAAGGGGGCCAGCCTGCTTTACCGCAAGTTTGTGCACCCGTCCTTGTCCCGCCATGAGAAGGTACCCCAGGGGGAGGTAGGGAGGGAAGCATAGGAATGGGTGTGAGGGAAGGAGCCCTGGATTCGGGCTTCAGGATGCTCGAGGACACCTGGGTTCTAATCCCAGTACTGCTGCTGTTTAGCTGTGAGACCTTGGCAGAGCCTAACCTTCTTTCTCTTTTGGGATAATCAAGTGGGGGCACATGTGAATGACTTTTTGGGGGTATGACACACCAGCTGGAAGTTGGTTTGGGGATGGTTGGGGGGAGGATGGAGCATGGCCATTCACTGAGGTGTGGGAGTGGGGGAGTGGGTGGGTGGGTGGGGAGCCCTGCTCTTGGTGTGGTTGCCTGAGCACTGTGGGTGGGGTTGGGCTGGGAAGCGTGGCACCCAGTGGCTTCTCTGGGTCTGCAGAGGAAGAGTGACTCCAGCTGTCCACTTGAGCTCTCTTCCTCCCTCATCTGCAGGAGATCGACACCTACATCGTGCAGGCCAAGGAGCGCAGCTATGAGACAGTGCTCAGCTTTGGGAAGCGGGGCCTCAACATTGCTGCTTCGGCCGCTGTGCAGGCTGCCACCAAGGTGCCCTGGGTCCCAGCCCTCCAGCCCCGTGCTTTTTGGGCAAGTCCAGCTCACTGTCAGGGAGCTGATAGATAGCAGCTGTCTGTGCTGGGGAACAGGGGTGAGGGGTGACGGGGGTGTTGGCAGGAGCATGGAGCTGAAAGTCCAGACTTCCCTGGCTCTGCGAGCAGCCGCTCCTGCTCTCTGGGCCTTCGTTTCCTGTTGGTGCCACAAAGGCCCAGAGCTAGAAGCTTGCTGAGTTGCTCTCTGTGGGGCTGGTGCCCCAGTGACTACCTGCGGGTCAGTCCTTGATTTCCCTGGGTAGCTGCCCTGATGGAGGCCCCTTTCTGCTAGGAGCCCTCCTCCTCCCTCCAGGTGATGCAGAGCTCCCCCTCCCTTGCAGAGTCAGGGTGCGCTGGCTGGAAGGCTGCGGAGCTTCTCCATGCAGGACCTGCGCTCCATCCCCGACACTGCTGCCCCCACCTACCGGGATCCCCTCTACCTGGAGGACCAGGTTCCCCGCTGCAGGCCACCTATCGGTGAGTGGGCAACTGTCCCAAGAGGGATGGCTTCCTCCATGCAAGCTGTGGCTTCCCGCAGGGCTAGAAGAAGGCCTGGCTGGCCCCAGGCCTTCAGACAGTGTAAATGCGCAGCTTAGCCTTCTGGCCTCCCTCACCTCCACACAGGGTACCGGGCAGTGGACCTCCAGGACAGTGACACGGAGGGTGAGTGTTGGTCGGATACAGAGGTAGTCCCTCAGCCGTCAACCCGGCCCCACCGAGAGAAGCCTCTGAGCCGCAGCCAGAGCCTGCGTGTGAGCAAGAAGAAGCCGCTGGTTCGGGAGGTCAGTGGCAAGGAAGACGCAAGGGGGGGCGGCAGCCCTGGCACTTCAGCCCAGACCTCTCATGGTGTGCCTGCTCTCTCTCCCCCAGGGCACCTCACGCTCCCTAAAGGTCCGGACAAAGAAAAAGACCATGCCCTCAGACGTGGACAGCTAGGGTCTGCAGAGCCCGGCCCTCGTGCCCTGCAGGGTGCTGAGGGCTATTTGGAGGGGACCTCTGGCTGCATGTCTGTCCTGTCTGCACCAGCTGCACAGGCTCTGCCCTCCCAGCTCCTGCTGTTGGTTCAGGCCCAGAGGCAGGTGCTGTCGGGGCCATGCACAGGGATGCACCCAAATGTTCCAAAGCAGGCTGGGACCACGGTTCTATTTATTGTCTTTCTCATTCCTCTACCTTCCCAGGTGTGGGACCACAGCCCTCCCCAGACCCTGCAAATGAAATCAAAAGCCCACCCAGCTCTGTTTATTCCTTCCTGTCCTTCAAAGTACTTGACAGCCTTCTCCAAGGCCTTGTGTGTGTGTCCTGGTTGTATGTTTTGTGTTGGTGAATGAGGTCAGGTTTGTTCAGGTTTTGATAACTAAATACATGAAAGTGTTCTGTTTCTCCTGGTTTGTATTCCCAGTCCTCACAGCACACGTTATTTAACAGCCTGCTACAGGCCAGTCCCGGCCTAGGACCGGGGCTAAAGGGACAGACTGCCAGAGGGGCCCAGTCTTCTGGGGGAGATTGCCATTGACAAAATTGTTGTGATGCAGCAAGTACTGTCGTGGAAAGCTCTCGGAGACCTCTGAGAACACAGATGGGAGAGTCGGGGCCCAGCCCTGAGAGAGATCAGAGTCTAAGAAGACCGCAGTCAGGGGGAGATAGGATTGGACCTTGATGGGAAGTAGAAACCAGTGGGAGCGAAGGTGTGTAGGCAGCATGGTAATCCTGTGGGGATTAGCTGGATCTGTGCTCAGATTAGCCCTGGGGAGCCCAATTTCCTCCATGTGCCTGAGGGGGGTCTCTAGGCGCTTTTGTGGGGGAGGAGCATTGAGTTCCTGTAAACACGCAAGTAACATTGGGAGCATTGCATGTCTGTGGAGTAGCCGCGAGAGGGCAGCAGCTGCCAGGGTGTGGGCTGCCCCCAGCTTCCAGGTCAAGGAGGGCGGGGCTTGGAGGCTGGCCAGAGCCTTGCCCTGTAGGGGCCTGGCCACTGGCTGGCTGGAGGGACGATGGGGAACTCTGACCCAGCCTCCAATGGGCCCCCCACCGTTGCTCCTCCCTGCTGCTCGTGGTCATCGGTCCTCAGCCTGCCCCATCCATGAGTCTCCTCTGTTCTCCTGAGACCCAGGCTCTTGGCCTGGGCTGGCTCCACTCCATCCCCTCCTCTAATTCCTGGAGCAGTGGTGCCGGCTCTGCCCTCTCCTGTGCCTGGATGTGGTAACCGGGAGTGGCCTCAGGAGGGTGGATTAACTCCTGGTGTGGGCATTATCTGGGTTTCACTTGGGGGAGGCACTTAATCTGCCCCGGTGGTTTAGCTCCTCACATGTTGGTGGTCAATGACTTACTCTCTTGGCGTTCCCTTGCATCCCTTATCTCTTCATTTATTCATTCGAAACAGCCTTACTGAGTGTCCACCAGGTACCAGGCATGTTTCGAGATACTGGGGATGCAAAGTCTAGTAACGGCTGGCACCGAGAATGTGCTGCTCTAAGCCCCTGACACATATTAATTTAATCCTCACAACAATTTTGAGAGGTCTGTACTATTATCATCTCTATTTTACAAATGGGAAAACAGGCACCAGGAGGGCGAGTAATTTGCCTGAGGTCACACAGCTAGTAAGTGGCAGAATTAAGCTTTGAACCAGCCAGTCTGGCTTCAGAGTCAGTGTACTTAACCACTGTGCAGGACTAAAGTAAATGAGATGTTTCTTGCCTGGGAAGCAAGGAGAAAGAGACTAGCATGTATCAAACATAGGTTGTGTGCGTGACCTTGTGCTGGGCATTTTACAGAGATAATTTCCTTGAATTATCCACAAAAAGCCTGTTAGGTAGGGTTATACCCATTTTACAGGTGGAAAAACTGAGACTCAGAGAAGTGCAGCAACTTGTCCACGGTTGTGCTGCCTGTGGGTCGGGGCCCTGTCTCCTAATGCAAGCCTGTCCAGAAGTTGCCTTGATAGAGGTGGAATGGCAAGATCCACAGCCCTGAACTGGGAGAACAAAACAGAGGAGCGTGTGATGAACAGGCAGAATGAAACAAAACTTCAAAGGAAGAGGGAGCTGGGGGGAGGCCTGAAGTTGTGGGGTGGTGAGGGAACTTCCATGGGAGCTAGGGCTTCCCCTGCCCTCATTCCCAGGGTCACTTGGCCCCAGGGCTGAACTGGTGATGCTTCCTCAGGTCCGTGATCTCCACCTCACCCCGCAGCTTCCTCGCTGGCCCTGCTGCCCCTGCTGCCCCATAGCTCCTCCTTTGGCCACGCTGCTCCTATCTCTCTCCTGAGCACAGCACAATCATCCCAGCATCAGCCTCCAGGCCTTTGCTCCAGCCGTCTGAGTCTCCTGCCCTCCAAACAGTCTTTCTTTCCAGGCCCGTTGGCCGTCCTTCAAGATCTGCTTTCTCTGAGCCTTCCCTGACTTGTCAACCCCTCCTCAAGCTGCTAAGGCTCCTGATCTCTGGCCTGCTCACCCTGTCCAGGGCACACAATGCCATGGGCTGTGCTGGTGTGCCCATCGCCCTTCCCTCCCCTCCCAACTGGCCTCCCCCGCAGGTGAATTGCTCCATATTCCCCACCTCATTAATCCCCACTATCTCGTGGCTTCATGCTGTTCCCCTGGCATGCTCTTCCTCCCCCACCCAACTGTTCTTTTCCTATTTGCCCTTTGAACACCACTCAGACATCACCTCCCCCAGGAAGCCCTCCTGTAAGCACTCCCCTGCCCCCTTGCGTTGATTGCTCGTCCAGACCACGCCGCCTCTGCCCCTGCACGGACCCATTTCTGCCTTGAGCATATGGTGTTTTCTCCCCTACTGCACTGTGACTGCATGAAGAACAGACTTGCACCTTATTCACTTGTATTCCAGCCTGGAACAAATGCTGGTTTAGCCAAAGTGAAACTGTAGTACATGTGTGGCTGGTGACGGCCCACTTGTTCTCTGACTTCTGAGCTCCAGCATCACCTCCTCTGTGAGGCTCCGCCGCCTTCCCCAGGGTGGGACTAGAAGCACCTTGTAATCATTCGTTAACCTGCCTGACTCCAGTAGTCACCCCACAGTGCCTGGCACAGGGCCTGACACCTAAGAGGGCTCGGTGACAGTTTGCTGGTAAAAGAACAAATCCATGAGTAAGTATAAGCTCGTCAAGGCGGGGACGGCCTGTGCTTCCATCTTCGTGCCCTGCATCTCCTTGGTGCCCACCACAGGCGAATGACTGCTGCAGTCCTGTGGGTTGCGAGACATCCTGGGGCCAGAGGAGAAGGGGCAAGGAGAATTCCAAGTTCTGGGGCTGTTCTGGCCATGCATACACATGATCCTGGGACTGGGGCATTGGGTGTGGGCTGGGCTTCCCTCAGAGGCTGCCCTGTCTCTTTGAGAATCACTGAAACGTCTGCCCAGCACTGCCTCCCTCTGCATGGGGTTCCTGGCCCAGGCTTCATCCTCTCTGGCCTGACCCGTAGGGGAGGGTAGGCTGTGCTCTGGCCTGACTACAGCCTCCAACCTTCTGTTATCCACCAGTGTGTCCACTGCGTCCCCAGGCAGGCTCAGGGCTGGACCTCCATTCCAACTGGCCTGGAGCCCAGGTGTGCCAGGCTCCAGGCTGGGCACTGGGTAGGGAGATGAAGCAGCCTCGGCCAGCCCCCTTGGAATCACAGACCTCTGCTTGGCCTAGGTACCAGCCCCACTCAGGTTGTGGGCTCACTCTTCGGCCTCCGCACCCGCCTTGCCTGCTTCTGAGGGCCTCCTCCACTGCCCCCAGGTTCCCAGGTGCAGGTGGCCCTTCATTCTAGCCTTCCTTTTCCCTCCTCCCCACAGCCCACCATCCCTTGGACCTGTCAGGTGGCTCCTTTCTCTCCCTGCCTCTTTGGCCCCTCTCAGGCTGTGGCCCCTCCATATCCTGGCCTCCTCCACATGTGCTGGCCCCATTGCTGTGTTTTTAGCTGCCATTCTCAGTGGTGGCTATGTAGTTAGCTTCTTGTTTCAACACGGCCCTGGTCCAGGCTGAGTTGGGGAGTCCTAGCTGGCACTGCCCCACCCTTGAGGAGGTTGAGGACATGAGCACTCAGGATCTCATCCCTTGTCCCCCACCCACATCAGGGACTGCCATGCCAATAGCTGGGTAGGGGGCAGAATCCAGGCAAGAGGATGATGCCTGCTGCTCAGGAAATCCAGGGGGGCACAGCTGGCGTTGTTAGGCAGAAGGTCCTGGGCCTGGGGCCTGGGTGGTTGGATCGCAGGGGAGGGGAGGTTGGGGGGTGGAGGAGGGGCACTGGGAAGGTTCCACTGAGAAGAGGAATTAGGTCAGGGACCTGGGTTGGGTGGGTGAGAGGGGAGGGGGCATCGGCTACAGAGCTTCCTCCTGGCTCCAGGAGCATCTCCACACTTCCCTTCCTCTCCCCCTCCCCCAGGGCCTACGAGAATTCCCCTCAATACTCCCCCTCCCCCTTGCCCGCACCCCAGGCATTGCCACAAGGGTGGGGGGTGTGGTGGGGGGAGGCCAGCCTCAGCTGTCTGAAGGATGGAGGGGCCGTGGAAGCAGGGCTAGGTGCCCAGACGGCCGCGTGTGTGGGAGGGGATGTCCTCAGATGCCCTCCACCCGGCAGTCCCCGCTCTGACGTGGGTACCCCCCTCCTCCCTGCCTGGATTAGTGGCAGCTTGGCCTGACTCTCCGGGGCTCCTTCCCCCGCCCCCGCCTGCTGCCCTCCCTTGGGCAGGGGGCTGCTCCACCCGAGGGGCACAGTGCTTGCCCAGGTAAGGGGCTCTGGGGACAGTGCCAGGGCAGTGGCTCTGACTGCTGCTGCGCGTGTCAGCATAAATGTGTGTATTAGCGTGTGTGTGTCAGTGCTCCAGGAGTCGGGGTGGGGTCGAGGTGGGCCGGGGAAGGGCCCACGCGCAGCTGGGGGTGCTGGTCAGCTTGCTGGTCCACGAATCCAGCATTGTGTCCACGCATGTGTGGCTTTCCTTGTGTGTTTGTCTTTTGTGTGTCTCCTCAGCTTTGCTCTGTCTTCAGGCACAGAACAGCCGGCTACAAGGCTCAGTGGCCTGGGGAGCAGGATTGGGAGCTGGTTGAGGATGGAAAGGGGCTTCTTCCGCCCACCCACCCACCATGGCCCCTGGGCATTTCAGAAGCCTGTCCTGAGATTCCTGGTCTAGGCCAGAGACTGTGACCTAACAAAGCAGACAGAGCAACTGGGGGTGGGGTGGGGGGAGGTGTCTGTCCCGCTCCCCTGGGACAGTCCCTATCCCCTTTGGGGATGATAGTGACAGGCCATCAGGGCCCCAGACAGCCCAGGCTCCTATCCTGCCCTGCCCAGCCTCATGTAGGCCCCAAGCGGCAGGAATCTACCCCCCCCCCACTCTCTCACAAGCTTCTGCTGCCAGAGGACACAGATGGGGGACCACAGGCGCACCCCAGCCCCTCATCTGAACCCTAGAACTGGCCTGGGAGCAGAGGCTGGGGCTTAGGGGCTTGGGATTGCAGTCCGTGTTAGACCCTCCACAGTTATTTCCCCTGGCACATTCAGGTCCAGGCCACCCTCGGGGGAGCTGGGGGAGGAAGGGAGTGTTAATAACTCAGTCATGTAAACAACCCCTACCAGCCTGCCCTGCCACAGAACCGGCCTCTGTGGGGAGGCAAAGGGGCTGGGTGAATCTATGCCAACATGACCCAAGTCGTGCCCAGTGCCAGCCCCTCAGGCCTCCTCTCCTCGGGACCCCTCCTCTTCCCCTCAACTGCCTCCTTTCCAGTCTCTTGGGAGGAAGGCTCCTCACGGCTCTTCATGGCTCCCCTCTCCAGGGATAGGGGTGTGACCTGGGACCAGGCTGGAGGCATCCGGGAACTCATCCCTTCGATGGGATGGGGCTGGGTGGGGTGGTGCTGCCTCTGTCCAGGTTTGGTGAAGGCAGGCCGAGGATGGCTTCCACACAGAGGCAGAGGAGTCGCGGGGTGGGAGGTGGGTGCCTGAGGGGAAGGGAAGTACCCGTTGGGCGTGTGGGTTTCTGTGTGTGTCTGAATCTGTCTGTGTGTGTTAGAATCTGTCTGTTTGTGTCTGTGCTGTGGAACCACCCCCGCAGAGGAGCCAGGATGCTTCCTCTGGTGGAGGGTGGAGGGTGCCCTGCTTTCCCATTTCCTCTCCTCCTCTCTGTCCCCTCCCAGGAGCCACTCCCATGGGCTCCTCTCCAATGTTGGGCCTGGAAGCACTGAGAACACAGGATGGGGCAGACCCCCAGAACATGGGGCTGGAGCAGGTGGTAGAGCTCATCAGGACCCACCTCCTTGTTCCAGACACTTGGTGAAACCGAGGCCCATAGAGCAGGGAGACTAGAGCCCAGGCCCTCCCAGAACTGCTAACACAGGACACTGCGCCACTGGGCCAGAGGGAGCTTGGGTGGGAACATAAACAGCAGCTTGGTCAGGTGAGGACGAGGCAGGGTAGACACCAGCTGGCCTGGTGTGCCCACGTGCCAGAGCTGGAGAGGACCAGGAGCAAGTGGTCCAGCAGGCCTGGGGCGGCTGGTGTGGGTCAGAGCGCCCATCACTGACTCGTGAGAACCCCACTGCCCCTGCCAGCTCTGGCACTGCCCCCTCCCAGGGGCCTCGCCCGAGCACCCAGAGGGGCACCCCGCCCCACCGTGGCCCAGTCCGGCCCCTCCCGCCCTTTGCTCCAATTCCCGGGCTTGGCACCTATAGTGGGGGTGCTGCCCGCCTGCCAGGCTCCGGGGCCGGGCCCACGGGAGGGTGGGGCTGCTGGGAAGCTGGCACGCTGCCCCGGGGGAGCCTCTCTCGGCAGGCGCCCGGGTGCCGTGGGGGGGAGGGGTGAACAAAGGGCTCATTCTCCCTGTGCGCAGCCGGTGGCATCGCCGGGGCGTTGGCGGAAGCCCCCAGGGCCCGGGAGGGGGCAGGCCCAGGCGGGGCCGCCGAATCACGGGCTCCTGTTTCCCGCAGGGTGCTGGAGGAGGAAACCGGCGGAGCAGCTTCCCCACTCTCAGTTGCGCGTCTGGCGATGGCGATCAGAGGTCCTGCTGCGCTCTCCGCCGCGCTCTCGCTCCATTAGACGCGCTGCGCCCTGCTGCACCCTCGCCGGTGCCTCTCTCCTGGGTCCCGGGATCGGCCCCCCTTCCAGGCACAATCCCCTCCCCCGGCCCCTCGGCCTTTCCCCCTACTCGGCCATCTCCAACCCGGGGCGCGCGTTCCCCCCGGCCCGGCTCCCTCTCTCCCTCCGGGGGCACCCGCTCCCCAGCCCCGGCCCGGCCCTCCCCGCGGCGCAGCACGGAGTCTCGGCGTCCCATGGCTCAACCCACGGCCTCGGCCCAGAAGCTGGTGCGGCCGATCCGCGCCGTGTGCCGCATCCTGCAGATCCCGGAGTCCGATCCCTCTAACCTGCGGTCCTAGAGCGCCCCCGCCGCCCCGGGGGAGAGAGCGCGCGAGTGCACTGAGCAGAGAGCGGGAGAACGAGTCTTCCCCCGTCGGCCGGAAGGCCCCGGAGCCGGTCCATGGGGAGCGGGCGCCCGCCGGCCACGACGACCGCCGCCGCCCGCGCCGCGCCCGTCCCGTGAAGCCCAGGTAAGCTCGGAGAGGGGGCGCAAGGGGCCTGCCTTTTGGGGACACTCGTAGCGGGCACTTTTGAGCCGACCCCGGGCCACACGCAGGGAGTGACTTCTCCGTGCTCCTCGGGCTGGGCCACACATCTGATAGTTAGGATGCCCACTGGGGCTGGATCGCGTTGGAGCGGTGGCCCCAGAAAACGCGAGCGCCGTGTATCACGGCTCCCTGAGCTCCCTAACCGCCCTTCTGGGGCTTCACCGAGCTGGCCCAGGGCCCCTCGCTGAGAGCGCTGCGGCTCTGGTGCCACCTGTCATCCTGGTACTTTGCACGCACGTTCAATTTTCCCTCCTTTGCCTCTCTCTGGAGCCCAGCCCGCTTTCCCCGCCTCCTTCCCTCCCCCGGCCAGGCTGCAGTTACCAGCGGCTGCCGTTGGCCCTGGCACTGCCGGCTGGACTGGGGCAGCTTGACCCATCCCAGCGGAGGCCTCTTAATCACCTCTCCTTCCCTCGGGGGGCTGCGGTGGAGATCCCAGCTCCCAGCAGTTGTCCTGGGACTCTGCTTTCTTGGCTTCAGAAGCCAAGAAACTGTAGAGCGCTGGGAAGAGGCCTGGGCTCTCCCCGGCTGCCCAGGTATAGGGAGAGAGACCAGCCAGCAGCCCTGCCTGGAGCCTCTCCCCAGTAACTCCAGCGTGCCCTGCCTGCACTTCCCACCCCTACACGCCTAGGTGGGGTGGAGGGGTGGCGGTGAGCAAGCAGTGCCCCAAAACCACAGACTGCAATGTGGGAAGAAGCCTCTGAGACTGCATATTTCCAGGGCTTATTTTACACCGAGGCCGTGGGGAGTGACGTGACTTGCCCAAGGTCACGTAGCGGGTGATGGAGTCAGAGCCAGGATCCAGCCTTCTTGTCTCCTCCTGCAGTGCCCTCCTCCAAGCTCATCTTTTGGGTTCTTGCCCCCTGTCCCTCCCCATGGCTTCTGATCAGGTTCCAGGCTCAGCGAGGCTGGAACATGTCATCCTAGAAATGGCAGTCTCTGCTGAGCCCAGGCGGGCTGTCAAGTCCTGGGCATTAGGGGGAAGAAGTGACTTCCCCACACTGGAGCATCCCACCCAGGCGGGTCCTTCAAGCTGCGTGTGAGCAGGCAGCATGGAGCCCAGCTGTGGGTTGGCAGTTGCCTTACTGGTTTGAGCTGCCTGGGTGCTGCCAGGGCGGTACCCACTCTGTACCAGGCAGTAGGCTGCTTGAGGCACGTGCCTAAGAAGCTCATGCTTTGGTGCTTATGCTCCAGGGACCTCCTCTGGAAGAGCCCCATGAGGGCAGGAGAGTGATGGAGAGTATGCCCAGCTTCCTGAAGGAGACCCCGGCCTGGGAGAAGACGGCCCCTGAGAACGGCATCGTGAGACAGGAGCTGGATACTCAGCTGCGAGAGAGCCTGCGCCGTGGGACGCTGTGCCTAGGAGAGCCTGCTCCCTTCTGGAGGGGGTTCCTGAGCACCCCAGGCTCCTGGCTTCCCCCTGGCTTCCCCCAGAGCCCCAAGGACACGATCCCACTGGTGGAGGGTGAAGGCCGCCAGAATAGGGAGAGGGAGGCCAGCTGGCCAGGTGGCAAGGAGGGGCTGCGCTGGAAGGAAGCTGTGCTCACCCATCCCCTGGCATTCTGCGGGTCCACGTCCCCACCTCGCTGTGGTCCCCTGCTTCCTGAGCATAGCGGAGGCCATCCCAAGAGTGACACTGTGGCCTTCCGGCCTTTGCACTGCCCCTTCCTTCTGGAGACCAAGATCCTGGAGCGAGCCCCCTTCTGGGTGCCCACCTGCCTACCACCCCACCTAGTGTCCAGCCTGCCACCAGAACGTCCATGTGACTGGCCTGTGGCCCCACACCCCTGGGTGTACTTGGGGGACCAGCCCAAAGTGCCCTCTGCTTTCAGCTTAGGAAGCAAGGTGAGTGTTGGAGCAGAGAAGGTACCTGGGGCTCAGGCCACGCAAGGTAGCTCAGCGGTCCTTGAGCAGCCCTGCCAGGGCTGCGCCACTCGGCCTGTCCATTCCGATGAAAAGATAAGGCAGCACCCAGTAGAGGAGCCTGTCAGCTCAGACAAAGTCAACCCCAGGCAGTTCCCCCCTGAGCAGCTCCACCTCACGAGGCCTTCCCTGCCTTCGGGCCTCTTCGGGCACTGACTCACCCATTGTCTGCCCAGGGCAAGGCCCTGGGAACAGGGCCTCAGAACATGTGGTCTTGCCCTGAGGAGGGCAAACAGGGCCTTCCTTCCAGGAGTGGGATGTGCGGGTGGCCCCATGGTCTATGTCTACGGCACCTCCCCCAGAGGCGACCTTCATGCCAGGGATGAGATTTAAAATATTTAAAACCCAGTGTGGTACAGGGCATCAGACAATCTGAATAGATCCTAGAGGCACTTTGGCTGTGCTAGCCATTAGCCTTTTAGTTGCTGGATTGTGGGGAGGTCTGGGGGTCATTAGGGCAGTGAAGAGGCACTTAGGAGAGCAGTACTGATTAACCAGTATGTGATTCCTTTGGTATTTTCACAACCCTTAAGGCCACACAGGTGCACACCTGCTGGTGGTCAGTTCTACTCATCCTTTTAAGCACTGGGAACCAAAATCAGCACTGGCTTAATCCCTTCTCCTCTCTGTAGGGCTTCTACCACAAGGATCCAAGCATTCTCAGGCTGGCAAAGGAGCCGTTGCCAACTACAGAAGCTGGGTTGTTGGGCTCAGCCCTTGGTGGGCATCTCCAGAGAACTGGGGAGGTGGAACGCCCTTCACTCCACCAGAGGGATGGAGAGACAGGAGTCGGCAGGCACCAGAATCTTTGCCCACTTCTCCTCGGGCATCCAGACACTGTTCCTGGGACCTCCTGGCCCACTTGTCCCCCAGGCCTGGTTCATACTCTTGGCAACATCTGGGCTGTCCCAGGGGGTGGGAAACTTGGGTACCAGCTGGGGCCGTCAGCCACATTAAAGTGCCCCTCTCCTGGGCCTCCTACCGCCCAAGTGGGCTGTTGCTCATCTTGCCCACCCGCTAGAGATGGAAGTCTTGGCTCTTGTGGGAAGTGCCAGGAGGGCCTGGAGGCAAGCACCAGTGGGCCCAGTGAATCCAGCGAGGAAGCAAACAAGTGCCCTGGTCCCAGGGCCTGCCCGCCCAGCCATCACACCAAGCTGAAGAAGACATGGCTCACACGACACTCTGAGCAGTTTGGGTGCCCAGGCAGCTGCCCTGGGGATGAGGAGAGCCCAGCTGCCCAGCTGCAGGCCCTCAAGAGGGCAAGCAGCCCTGAGATCTGGGGAGCAGTGGGAAGCCCAGCCGCCAAGCGCCCACCTGACCGTTTCCCAGGCAGTACGGGGCAAGGGGCCAGAGGATGGCAGGAGGTGCTGGACTCGTCATTTGGGAACAAGGCGGAGGCAGAACAGCGTGATGACCACAGAGGTAAGGGGGCGGGGGAGGGGCTGCAGGGGGCCCTACGTGGGAGGGGGCGGCCAGGACTGGGGCTTTGCAGGGAGGTGGGGTCAGTAGGTCCATTATGAGTGGATCACACCCCATTGTCCAGTTCCCTCCCAGTTGTGATAGCTCTCTGGGAGTTCCTTAGCATCGACAGGCCAGAGCCTTCCACCAAGTGCCGTCTGTTTCCATTCACCTCCTCCGAAGACATGATGTGTTGGCGGCAGTATAATGACATGGTTAAGAGCATGGGCTCTGAGTCAGAGTGCTGAGTCCTGACTTTGCTGATCGGTACTATGTGACCTCTGGCTGGTTACTTCACCTCTCTGGGCCTCAGTTTCTTCATAAGACTGCTGTGAAGATTAGATGATCTAATTCACCTAAAGGGCTTTGAAGGATTCCTGGCACTTAGTAAGCACTCAATAAACATTCACCTTTATGATTATTTGTGCCACAAATCCCCATCTGGGGGATTGCATCTCCTGAAGGACCCTTTGTCCTGCCTCAGGAACAAAGAACTACTCTCTTGGCCAGCTGGGATCATGGAAATTCAGTTTGGACTCTGCCAATGTTAGGGCCTTGGGCACATCCTGGACCCCTCTGTTACACTGTGCCCTTCACGGAGGGCTCTGGCACTGCCGGCCCCAGCCTCCGTTCTTCAGGATCACCTCAGTCTCTTGGCCTCCTGGACTTCTGGGCCTGGATCAAGCCTCTCTCACTCTCTCTTTTTTTGTGTGTGAGGAAGATTAGCCCTGAGCTAATATCCGTTGCCAATCCTCCTCTTTTTTGCCGAGAAAGATTGGCCCTGGGCTAACATCCGTGCCCATCTTCCTCTACTTTATATGGGACGCCACCACAGCGTGGCTTGATAAGCAGTGCGTCGGTGCGCGCCCGGGATCTGAAACCCCGCACCCTGGGCCGCCAAAGCGGAGCACGTGAACTTAACCACTATGCCACCAGGCTGGCCCCAGGCCTTTCTTGATGGCCTTGCCTAAGCACCCCTGCATGTGGCATGGCTCTGTTCACTCTCTCCCAGGCCCCAGCCTGTGCTGGGAAGTTGCTGGCCCCTCAGCCTTCTTGGGTTACTGCACCTGTGGCCTATGTTGAAACTCCCCAGCCTTCTCACCTTCCGGCGCCCTCCGTCCACATTGGGATTGTCTCCTCATGCTGTCATGCAGCCAGCGGTGTCACAGCCCACGGTGGAGCTCTCCAAAGTCTGCACTGGCTGGATCCTGCACTTGGGGCAGGCCCATTGCTCCACCTGCCCCAGCCTTGGGCTCAGCACCCAGACCCCTCCTCTTGGCCCGGCAGTCCCTGTCAGAGCACTGTCAGGCTCCCCACTCAGCCTTTTTTACGAGGCTTCTAGCTGCCTGGTTCACTGTCGCTAGTTCCCAACCAGACATCATAGGCCAGGGCCTAGGGACTGGGCTGGCTCTGTGTGTGGGCGGGCTGGGTACTAAGGCAGGGCCTGAGGTTCGCATAAGCCCAGGGAGCCCAGACTGCTGACCAGCTACATTGTCTTCTCAGGACCCCCAGATGGCAGGGCCAGCCTCCAGGACCCAGGGCTTCAGGATACACCTTGCTTGGCTCCCCCGGCAAGCATTGCTCAGTGCCAAAGCTGTGCTCAGGCAGCTGGAGAGGCAGGAGGGCTGGCCTGCCACTCCCAGCAAGTACCGAGGTGAGCCCTTGCCCCTGGATGCCTGCAGCATCCTCCCACTCAGGACTCCCTCCTCACCTTCCGCTGCCCTGTCTCCAGATTGCCTCTGGGAGGGGAGCAGCAGCAGGAGGAAGACTCGGCAGCCAGCTCTGAGGAGGGAGGAGGGTCTGGCCTGGAGGCCGGGCTCAGCACGGGCCTTGCCAAGCACCTGCTAAGTGGTTTGGGGGACCGATTGTGCCGCCTGCTGCGAAGGGAGCGGGAAGCCCTGGCCTGGGCACAGCGGGAAGGTGAGCAGGACCCACAGGGCATTCGGGACCCTGCGAGGGCCTGGTCCTGTGATCACTGTGCTTTCAGGAGGAACATGGGCCAGCAGAGAGTGGGCCCTTCCCTCCCACCAGCACTGCCTGTCCAGCCGCCAACTCAAGAGAGCTCCTGCCCTGCTTTGCCCTTATTCTCGGCTGAGGCTCTTAGTCAACACACATTCTGAAGTTTCTGGCCCGGGTGGGGGATGTTGGGAAGGTGTAAACCTGGTCCAGCCCAACTCTCTAAGAGCTTTTGGGCTTGCTGGGGAAACAAGACTGAGTGCCAAGTGTCTCTAAGAGTTCTCGAGGGTAGAGGAGCTCCCTGCAAGTTTGTGCCATAAGGAAGGTGTCCAGGGTGGCGAGGCTCACGGCCCTAGGAGGCTGGTAGGGTTTGGGCTGAGGTTAGAGACTGGTGGAGCACAAGGCGTTTAGCTAGTCCCTCTGGCTGGAGGCTCTCCCTCCTGCGTCCGTTTCACAGTACCACACCTGAGGTCCTGTCACTCCCTGGGTGGGGGCCTGTTGGTAGCTCCCTCTTGTCCCAGAAAGTCCAGCCCCTTCCCCTTTCGTCAGCTGGCCCCGTCTCCCCTGCCACTCCCTCAGCCCAGATTCCCGGCACACCGCCCTCCTTCTCGGCTCACCTGAGCTTGTCTGTGCCCTCGGGCCTTGGCACTCTCGTTCCTACTGTCTGGAATGCCCTTCTCCTCCTGTTCTACCTGGTGAATGAAAACTTACTCATCACTCGGGGCCCATTTGTGCAGCTGCCCCGACATCCCCACCCTCATCCTTCCATCCCGTTCTCATTCTCCCACCCACCCCATGGTGCCATAATCATTGCCACGTTTATGGGTCCGTCTACTCCTTGGAATGTGAGCGCTGGGAGAGCAAGTGCCAAGTCCTGACCAGTTCTGAATCCCCAGCATCCAGCCCGGGACAAGACAAGGTGTTTGTTGAACGAGTAAATGAATGTGTGTTCGCTGGCATCCTTCCACTTACCAGTGAGAGTTTAGTCTGAAACTCTGGGTGAGGGAAGGAGTGGCCTCCTAAGGTTTCTTCTTTTGACATACAGAGTCCCCTGAAGAAGGACCACCGTGGGAGGGAGGGAGGGAGGGAGGTGGTGAAGGGATGTGTTGGAAGTGGTGTGGATTGGTAATTCAGGGCCACTGGGGACTCCCTGCGCAGGAACTGGGGAGATGAGGCCTGCACTGTCCCTGGGAGGGTTTGCTGCAGACGACGGTGCTGCCGGGAGGTTCTTTACAGGGACAGCCAAGTGAGTGAGGGTGTCTGTAGGGGGCCTGTCTCCCCTCTGGGGCAGCCCCTCGGTGGAAACTGCCCCTGCTTCTCCCCATCCCTGCCTGGAGGACTCCCACATGAGGTCATCAAAAGGGGCCTGTGGCTTGAGCCCCCTCTGACCCTGCTCTCTCCCACGGTCAGCAGGACAGGGGCCAGCCGGGACAGACGACAGCCCAGGCATTCCACGCTGCTGCAGCCGCTGCCACCACGGACTCTTCAACACCCACTGGAGATGCCCCTGCTGCAGCCACCGGCTGTGTGTGGCCTGTGGCCGCATGGCGGGTGCTGGGAGGGCCAGGGAGAGAGCAGGTGGGAAAGCATCCGGGACCCGAAGGTGGCAGGGCAGGGACAGGGCCTGGGAAGGGCTGCTCTAAGGTTTGTGGCCGTTCCTTGGCTGCCTCTCCCCAGGAAAGCCTCCCTCCCCTCCTAGCCCCCACCTCAGCCACCACTGCTCAATGCCCCTTAGAGCAGATCTTTCCCTCTCCCTAGATCAGAGGCCACACCTGTGTCCTTACCCACCATTAAAAGAAGTGGAGGGCCCACCCTATGCCTCCCACTTTGCTCAGCTTGCACCTTTTTAAGCCTTACAACACTGTGAGCTGGGTATTATTGCCTCCATTTTCCAGATAAGAAAAATCAGAGCAGTTGGGTGACTTGTACAATGTCACACAGTAAGTGTTGGGTCCAGGATTTAGAGTCAGGTCTTTTGATTCCAAGTCCTGTTCTCTTCACAGTTCTCAGCTTTCTCTCCCTTGGCTCAACTTGGCCACCTGAGGGCTTGAAATTTCCCAATGTTCCAACACACATGGCCAAAAAGAGTTCCAGAGTCAGAAACGTTTTGGAACACTGTATTCCATCTGTATTCCACTGATGATCATCTTGGAGTCTTGCAACACTTATCAGCATATTAAAGTCTCTGCGTTCTGCGAGCAGAGAATCCTACGTCACTACTGAACCCAGTTTCGTAGAAAGCCCATGTCTGGTCGATTGTCGAGCCCCTGACTTAGATATCATGCCCTTGCCCTTCACCCCTGACCTTAGCCTGTGGTTACCTTGGTTCTGACACAGCTTCTCCCTTCCCACCCCACAGGCTCTCAGGAACAGTCCACAGAGGAGTGTGCGCAGGAGGCTGGGCACGGGGCCTGTCCCCTGATGCTCACCCAGTTTGTCTCCAGCCAGGGTGAGCCATTTTGGAGGGATAGGGTGTGCAGACGGCTGATCCTGGGGGAGACCAGCTTCCTGTGTGGATGTCCCTCAGCCCGATCCTATGCCTTCCCGGTTGGTGAGGCCAAGCAGCCCAGGGGTGGCCTCCTGTCCTCACTCACCACCAAATTCCATTTCCCGTCTCCCCTCACAGCTTTGGCAGAATTGAGCACCGCAATGCACCAGGTCTGGGTCAAGTTCGACATCCGGGGGCACTGCCCCTGCCAAGCTGATGCCCGGGTGTGGGCCCCAGGAGATGGGGGCCAGCAGGTAAGAAGCAGGGCATGGGACAGGTACAGAGCACAGCTAGGCCCCAGGGCTGGGCAGTGTGTCTGCAAATTTTGACCCTGGCAGGGTTCGGCCCTTTCCTTTTGATGGGGATGATGAGGGACATGGAGGCTGAGTAAAGTCAGGGTACTTCTCGCCCGCCTTCCCAAGAGATTAGGATCCGTGGAGTGAGCTCTGGCATCCACCTCACCCCGCCCCGCCCCGCAGAAACCCAGAGCTCCTGCTCGTTCTGTGCATGCTACCGCTTGGCTCTCGCCACATCACACAAGGGCGAGGCCTGCGTGTCCTCCTCTCCGCCTCCAGGCGCGGGCCCCTGCAGGTAGGGCGCTGGCCCCGTCTCAGTCACCCCTGCACCTAATACACAGCAGGTGTTCAGTACACATTTGACAAAGTTTTTATGAAATTCATGTATTATAGAAGTCGTTCATTCAAGAAATAGTTTGTTGAATGCATGTTGTGTACCAGACACTGTGCTGCACACCCACTGTGGAAAATTTGGAAAATACAGACAAGTATAAAGAAGAAAACAACATGGCCTGTCATGCTGCCATTATCATTGTGACACATGTCTTTCCGGTCATTTGCCTATATATGATTTCAAGTCTACTGTAGTCTATTGTAGACGGTTTTCCACCTAATGTTATATCATATAACATTTTGCTCCTTGTAAACACGACTTAGGACTTAGAAGAGTCCATTGTTAATACTTGTGGGTTGAATTGGATTGAGTCGTGTCTGCCATTTTTAAATCTCTGGTTGGGTTGGGGGGTGGTGGATGGGTATAACAGAAGGAGCCGACAGAGAAAACTCTCCCAACTCCACAACCTTCTTGCAACGGGGATACCAACAGGACCAAGGACATCAAAGAGGGTGAGTGGCCTGCCCCTCGCTGAAGCTGGGCCAGGGCTGGAGTCCCCAGGAGACACTGGAATTGCTTTAGCCATCCCTTCCCCCCATAATCTCTGTCACTCTTCCCAAGTCATTCCAGAGAAAATAAATCTAAATACAATCTAGGACAAGCCTCCTAACCCCTCTCCACCAGGCCCGCCTTCTGAGCCCCTCCTTCAGAGGGGGAGCTGCCGGCAGGAAAGCTGGTGGTGGGAGGCGAGTGCATCTGGAGTAGAGCTGATGTGGGCAGTCCCAGGGAGGGGAGAGCGGACTGGGCCAGGACATGAGGGAAGGGCCTGTGGTCACCGTAGCCTCAAGAGAAAGGTGAAGCCCCTCACCATTTTCCTTCCCGACAGAGACCCCGGACTCCACAGATACCCTGGCAGAGGACCGTGCTGGCCGAGGGCCCCTGCCTTGTCCCTCGCTCTGTGAACTGCTGGCCTCCACTGCTGTCAAACTCTGCTTGGGGCATGAGCGGATACACATGGCCTTCGCCCCCGTCACTCCAGCCCTGCCCAGTGTGAGCAAGGGCATGGAGGGAGGGCTGGGGGCCCGAGGACAGAGGCTGGGCTGGCCCTTCCTGTGGGGTCGGGTGAGTCCTGAGCCCTCCTGGCCCTCCCTCCATCCCTGCAGGATGACCGCATCACCAACATCCTGGACAGCATCATTGCGCAGGTAGTGGAACGGAAGATCCTGGAGAAAGCCCTGGGGCCGGGGCTGCGGGCCGGACCGGGCCTGCGCAAGGGCCTGGGCCTGCCCCTCTCCCCGCTGCGGCCCCGGCTGCCTCCTCCTGGGGCTTTGCTGTGGCTGCAGGAGCCCAGGCCTCGGCGTGGCCTCCACCTCTTCCAGGAGCACTGGAGGCAGGGCCAGGTGAGCTCCCCATTGCCCCCTCTCACCTCTCACGGCCTCGCCTACCCTCAGGGCTGTGGTCCCTAGGGCCAGGCGGAGTCCCCACGCTGTTCTGGTGCCCCCTACAGCACACCCTGGCCTGGCCATGGTGGGCGCCCCATCTGTTCTCCCATAGCCCCCTTCCTTTCCCCACTACAGCCTGTGTTGGTGTCAGGGATTCAGAGGACATTGCGAGGCAACCTGTGGGGGACCGAAGCTCTTGGGGCTCTTGGAGGCCAGGTGCAGGCACTCACCCCCCTCGGGCCTCCCCAGCCCACAAGCCTGGGCAGCGCTACATTCTGGGAGGGCTTCTCCCGTCCTGAGAGTGAGTATCCCTGATTGGTAGAGGTAGCTGGGGGCCTGAGCCGGGTGGTGACAGAGTCTCAGAATGACTCTGGGGACAGCTGGAAGCAGAGCCCTGGGCTGAAACTGGACTCTGTTGCTGCCACTGGGGCAGGGGCCTCTGGGCCAAGGAGGTTCCTCCCTGGGCCAAGGACCTTTCTGTCTCCTCCCCTAGTTCGCCCAAAGTCAGAGGAGGGCTCAGTCCTTCTGCTGCACAGAGCTCTGGGGGATGAGGACACCAGCAGGTGTGTATGGTACCAAGGGCTGCTCTGACTTCCCCAGCCACCGCCAGCTCTTTGCCATCCTTCCTCTCCTCCTTCTTCCCCCACCACATGACCCTCTGGGAGTCACCCCAGTAGTGGAGGCTTCGACAGGGTCTCTGTTGCCTGGGTTGAGCCTGCTGGCTGTGACCCACTCCCTCCACAGAGTGGAGAACCTGGCCGCAAGCCTGCCACTCCCAGAGTACTGTGCCCAGCGTGGGAAACTCAACCTGGCTTCCTACCTCCCCCCGGGCCCTCCCCTGCGTGCACTGGAGCCCCAGCTGTGGGCAGCCTATGGTGAGTGCCAACTCCACTCCTGCCCAGTCCCTACCCCCATTCCTGTCATCTCTGGGCACACATGTGCCTGTGTCAAGGTCCTGGGACCCGTTCTCCCTTGTCCTTTCTCCATCATGCAGGTGTGAGCCCACACCGTGGCCACCTGGGGACCAAGAACCTTTGTGTGGAGGTGACCGACCTGGTCAGTGTCCTGGTACGTGCTGAAGCCCCGCTGCCTGCCTGGCACCGGGTACAGAAAGGTGGGTCCTCAGCTGGAGGCAGGGGTGGGGACCAGCTGCAGACACGAGGTGCTGTCTCTTCCCGCCCTGGGCCCCCCTAAGCCAGTTTTCTCCCTCAGACTTCCTCTCAGGCCTGGACGGAGAGGGGCTCTGGTCTCCGGGCAGCCAGGTCAGCACTGTGTGGCACGTGTTCCGGGCACAGGACGCCCAGCGCATCCGCCGCTTTCTGCAGATGGTGAGGAGGGAGCCGGGAGCCCTCCCCTTCCCCTGCGCAGCCCTCGTGCTCCCTGGGAGTGGGGGCTCCCAGCCCCAGAAGCTCTCTCTGTCTGTGTGTGCGCCCTGTGTGCTCACTCCCCCGCTCAGGTGAGCTGGACAGCCTCGACCCACAGACAGGTGCAGAGAAGGCAGACTGGGACCATGTGGGAGTCCTGCAGTGGGGCACAGAAAGAGCAGGGGGTTGAGGCGGGTCCTGGTAATGAAGTGAAAGCAAGAGCTGCCGCAGGCTGGGGGCCATGCAAGGGCCGTGCGTACATCCTTTCAGTTATTGTCACAACCACCTCATGAGGCAGGTACTGCTGCTTTCCCATTGTGCAGATTGGAAAACTAAGGCTGCGTGGTGGAGCTGGGACCTGAGCTTACGGCTATTCCCACCCCTGGTCACGACAGGGGTCCTCCTGGGGGCCCCCTCCTGGGGGCAGGCAGCCTCCCCTTCATGGGCTCTGGGTGGGGCTGGCAGAGGGCAGAGAGAAGCCCATGTGAGATGCCTCCTGCTACTCCCCTTTCCGTCATCCACACCTTATGAGGAGGTGCTCCTTGAGCTGCTAACAAGTAAGGGCTGAGGGAGGCAGCTTGGCAGTGGAGGGAGAGACTGCACCAGGCTAAGGGGCAGGGGGAGGTGAAGATGAGGGGGTGAGCAGGAGGCAGGAAGCTCCAGGGGGTGAGGGAGGTGGGAGGCCAGTGTTAAGATTAGGGCAGCCCAGTGGTTCCAAAGTCTAGCTGAGCCCTGATTGTCCCGGGGAAAAGACGTCCACCATGTGTCACCCCTGCTAAGGCACAAGCCTACACACAGATGTGCAGATGCCAACATGGCTGTCCAGCACCGCCCTCCTGCCCACAGGCATGCGTGTCTGCAGGCATATCGATAGACACACACAGATCTGTAGATGCACACACAGATGCTGGAACACGCAGAGGGGAGCAGACAGAAGCACACCTTCACACACAGATGGCCTCGTCTAGTCTGGGTGTGGCTGGTTGTGGGCAGTCCCATACAGCCAAACCCGATGATTCACGGGGAAAGTCTGAGGGGCATATTCTCCCGGGGTGGCCTGGGAAACACTGCTTCTAGCTCCAGGATGGACTTGAACCTCCAGGGGCAAAGAAACCTTGGCACCTGCCTGGGGCTACCCTAGGGTCCAACCTGGCTCACCAGCCTCCCCTCTCCCCATGGCCTAGTCTTGGAGCCCTGAGCCCTAAGCCCAGGGACACTTGCTGAAGTCCTAGCTGAAGGGGTGGGTTTAGCTGGTGGCCAGTTGGAGCACGATGCAGGTGTCAGGTATTCACTTCTGCAGTGAACATCTCCTTCTCTGGCCTCCATGAGGCCCTGGCTGCCCAAGTTGCTCCCTGCTCTGGCTGGGCTGGTGAAAGCCCCCATAGCTCTGCCTGCTTCAGAGGCCTCCGCCTGGACAGGCAAGCCTGTCTATCCACTGGGAATCAGAACTTCTGTGTGGCCTTGCCTTTTCTGGATCTGGGATCTTAGAAGATCAATCCAAATTGTCTCCCCAGGGACATATAGCTATCTCCCCACCTATGGTTTAGTGCACAATTCAGGATGTCCACAGGACTCCAGGTTAAGAGCTCCTGGTGCAGATGGTTTAGGAGTTGGGATGATGCAGGAGGTCTTCCGGGGTTTTGGAGAAAGGGGGACCTTTGAGAGAGAGAGCAAGGGCCCAGGGCCAGGGACGCAGAGGCTATTCAATGTGTTGAGCCACAGTAAAGCGGGGATTTAGACCCCCGCGGCAGAGCCCTCAATCCTTTCCTCTAAGCTCCTTCTAGCCAAATCTCTGTTCTGCCAATCTGTGCCACCCCAGCCCCTCACCGCCCAGCCCCTTTCTCTCCCACCCCTAAGTTCTCCCCTGCCTGCCCTTCAAGACTTGACCGCTTCAGCTCTTTCCTGCGCCCCCGGCCTCTGGGAAGCCAAGGCTCGTTCTGCTGCAGCCTGCCCTCGCCTTGCCCCTTACTCATTCCCCCTTCTCTTTCTTTGAGGTGTGCCCGGCCAGTGCAGGCAACCTGGAGCCTGGCACCCCGGGCAGCTGCTACCTGGACGCAGGGCTGCGGCGGCGCCTGCGAGAGGAGTGGGGCGTGAGCTGCTGGACCCTGCTGCAGGCCCCTGGAGAGGCGGTGCTGGTGCCTGCGGGGGCTCCCCACCAGGTGCTTCCCCAGTGGGCCAGGGGCTCTGCAGAGAGCTCAGAATCTCAGAAGCGGCAAGAACAAACATCACTGTGATACAGTGTTCCCTGGCCTGTTACAGCCTTATCCTTCTCAAGCCCCCAGAGCTGGGCAGGGCAGGAATTCAGGCCCCCACAGCAGGGAAGAGGAAACGGCAGAGAAGCTAAGCAGTCTTGAAGTCATCAAGCCGAACTGGGCTTTGTGTCCTCAGATGCCGACTGCCTGTGCTGTCTCTGGCATCCCCTTGGCCTGGTTTTGGCTGTGCCCTTGGGGTACCTGGTGCTGGATCCAGGGCCTCTACTCTGAGAGCTGGGTTGGGGTCATTATAGGAAGTAGAGACCAGAGGTGCAGCGGGAGGATGATCATCCTGGGCCTCTGCTGACCCTCCTGCCCCCTCCTCCCTGGCACAGGTGCAGGGCCTAGTGAGCACAGTGAGCGTCACTCAGCACTTCCTGTCCCCCGAGACCTCTGCCCTCTCTGCTCAGCTCTGCCACCAGGGACCCAGCCTGCCCCCTGACTGCCGCCTGCTTTATGCCCAGGTGAGTATGACACTGGCCAGGAGGCTGGGTGTGTTGCCCAAGTGCCCCTGTGGCCCAGCTGGGGTGGCATAGCAGATCCAGCTCTGTGCCAAGCAGGCAGCCAGCCTGGGCCCAGGAAGGGCATTCTTGGGGGGAGGGCCCAGGGCTGTGACTGAAAACTCCTTATCCTCTCTCTTTCTCCTAGATGGACTGGGCTGTGTTCCAAGCAGTGAAGGTGGCTGTGGGAACATTACAGGAGGCTCAGTAGGGGGGTGCCAGGTGTCTGGGGTAGGGGTGGGGCAAGTAGGCCAAGTGCTCAGCCCAGGCACAGCTTCAGCAGGGAATGATGCTGGGGGACGTGGGGACTTTCGGTGAATCCTACAAGCACCACTCTGGGCACAAGCAGGGCACCCTGTTCCCCACCCCTGACCTGGGCCCTAAAGCCAACAGCCACAGTGCCACCACAGCTCACTGCCCTGCACAGGCTGGCGCCTGCTCCACCCCTGCGCCCCTCTGCATGGTACCAGGCCCACGCTGGGGATGATTGACTCCCTCCAACCCCTGCCCCCAACCCAGGAGACAAACAGCCCTTCCTTAGGGTACCTTGGGAATCATTCTGGTTTAAGCAACACCTTCTGCTGCCTCATCCCCTGCTGCCCACCTCTGCCTCAAGCTCTGCTTACACCACCCACATCCTCCCTGCGCCCCACTTCACACTGCAGGCATGCTGGACAAGGGGCCGCCAAAATTCTGCCCTCTTTCTAGGCAGCTGTGAAGAGTGGGGAGGGGTGGCATCAGGGGACTGCCCAGGCTTGGCTGGAGGGAATGATATGGGCAGTGCCCTGTCCCTCCTCCCTCCTCTCACCTCCCTCCTTCATAATTTCCATTAAAGTCTGTTGTTTTGTGAATGCTGCCAGTGTGGTTGGCCCTGCTTCTGCAGGCCACATGGACTGGGGAGGGAGGGGAGACATGGAAATGGAGTGTGTGGGTGGGTGCTGGGGCCAGGGTGACAGGGACCTCAAACACCCCTGCCTGCTCTTCTGGAGGACCTGGGTCCCTGCCTCTTGCTGAGGAGCAGATGGAGCCTTCCAGGGGGCTGCCCCTGAAGATGCTCCTGACAGCCACAGCAGGCAGGGCAGAGCCCTGGGGTGCAGCAGTGAGGCGGCCTCCCTGGTGGCATAGGCTGCAGAGATCTGGAGCCCGAACACTTCCTGCAAACTCCAGGCTGCCCCATCTCTCCGTCGGACCTCACCTGGAGCACCTGGAGGGTGGCCCAAGAGAGCCCTTGCCCAGCCGTCTGCCCTCGGTGTCCCAGGCCCACCACCCCGCCCTGGACTGAACATGCTGCCCGACTGCTGCCAGCCCTTCCCCACCCCAGGGCCCTCTGGTGTGGCTCTGCCCGCTCCCCTGCCCTTGTCCATCTCAGCCCAGCACGCTCCAACCCTTGTTATACCAAATTGTTTCTGCGGTGGTTCAGGGGATGTTTTCTTATGAAATAAAATTTTTTATTATAAATGTAATATACTTTCAGAACATTCAGAAAATAAGAAAAAATCACCTGTAAGCCCACTTCCACTCACCCCCAACCCAACCACTATTAGTATTTGGTGTACTTCCTTCTAGCATTTTCTCCAAGGAGCTGACTTACGCACAGTTGAGCCGGTGTGTTTGTACTTGGTTCTTCCTTTAACACTGTGTTGTGATCATTTGCTGTGTTGCTACCTGACTTTCATTTTAAACAGCTGCTTATATTCCATAAGTGGCTTTCCTGTGATTTATGTAATCATCCCTCATTAAAAAAAAAAAATTAGGTTTCTTCATTGTTTGCAAAGCTGGGTTATTTTCATTTTTTGATGGGATAGAAAAAAAAGAAAAAATTAAGGACCTGCTACACTTCACTGTGCCGCTGTTTCCATCTAACTGATCTCCTTTCTCCCCTTGTCATTATGTTGAGGTAGATACCATTTATTTCCATTTTACAGAAGAAGAAACAGTCAGGCAGGGATTAAGTGAGTCACCCAAGGTCACACAGCAATTTTAGTGGCAAAATTGGGATTTGGACCAAGTTTCCTGCGTCGAGCCACCTCATTTACAGTATCGTCTTCCTGCTTAATGGACTCTGCAGACGGGCCTGCTGGCCTCTCTGTCCTCCTCCTTCCAAAGGAGGCACTACACAGCTGGTCAGGTTCCAAGTGGCCCTGAGTGACCCATCCCTACCTACACTTCACCTTACAGAGCTATGTCCTGGTGTCACCCCAGAACTCCAAACATGGGGTCCTTCCTGTGGGAAGATGGGGATGGCCCAGTCACTGCACCTCTCTCTTCCCCACAAGACCTCTCTGCTGCCTCCCCTTTCATGGTGGGTCACAGCACCCTCGAGGGCACACTGCAAACAGCAGGTGGACCAAATGTTCCAGGACTGGACCTGGTAATGAAGCCAGTCCCGGTGGGGATTGACCCTCAGGCTCAGCTTGGGGCACTTGGTGGCATTCTTCCTCATGGAGGCACGACTGGCTCCCCGCCGTCCAGCCTGCCCCTCGGGCCTCTGCTTCTCCCAGCACCCCCGCTGTCCACCTTCGGCTCCAGCCCCTCTCACCGGCCTGGATATCACAGAGGCGCATCCCTCAGAGCTAGACGTGACCTCGGGGTGGGTATGTCCAACGCTGCCTTCTTCTTATAAAGTACATTTTTTAGACCTTTTATTTAGAAATGATTTTCGATTTACAGTCAAATCACAAAGAAGTACAGAAGGTTCCCAATTACCCTTCATCCAGGTTCCTCTCCTGTTAACATCTTACATACCACAGCACAGAGATCAAAACTGAGACATTGATATCGATGCAACACTGTTAACTAGGTGAGGGACTTTACTGGGATTTCGCCAGTGTTCCACTCATGTCCTTGTCCTGTTTCAGGATCCACCAGTGCCTGCATTTTACAGATGGCCTAGAGGGTAGATGGGGTTCCCCCAAGGTCACTCACACAGCCAGCTTGCGGCGGCAGAGCGCAGGCTGAAGCTAGACTCCTTTCCCTTGCACGTTGGGCTACTGCACTCGTCACTCTTCCTGCTTCGTCAGGGGCCAGGGCTTGCTGCTCGGTAAGCGACTCCAGTTCACAGACACTTGTGCCTCATGCTGTCCGCCAGCCCCTGACCCTGTTCCCAAGGTTGCCTACACTGCCCTCCTGCACATGTGCTCACCCACATACGCGTGTCCCCAGGCCCTGACACGGCTGGCTCAGGCTTCGCTCCCGTGGGTGCTGGGAGTGGTACTGCGTGGTCCACCAGTTCAGCCACTCCTGTCCACCGCCTGCGCGGCCACCCCCAAAGCCAGTGCACGTCCCTCTCTGGGAATGGAGGACGCAGAGCAAACTTGACGGAGGCCTTCCTTTGTTTCTGGTTCTGGAGGTTTCTATCGCAGCTTCTCCCCACTCCAGCTTTTCCTGTTCTGTCTCAGGCACTCTTGTCTCAGTGTGGTATGTGTGATCCTCCACTGCCTTGAGAAGGTCTACTTTCTGTCGTCTCCCTCAGCGCTCCGGCAAAGGCTAGGCACACCCCTCGAGGCCCCTCTGCCTGTGCAGCCCTGCACAGTTTACAAGTGGCTTTCACGTCGCCTCATGTGCAGGATCACCACTTAACAGGAGAGGAGCACTTTTCCAGTGATGGGGGGAGTGGAGCCGCCGTTTATTGCCTCTTTGCTCTTCCAGGCAGGCAAGCTGTCTGCTGTTCATCTTAGGCTGCCTCTGAGGCTCTCAGAGCCCTGTCCAGACATGAACTCACTCCCTCTCAAATCATCCCCAGGAGGCAGAAAGGAGTCTGGGACCAATGCTGTCCCCACTTCACAGATGGGAAAACCGAGGGACACACACACACACAGCAAATGCACTGACAAGTTGCTCTGCAGTCCTGCGGCCCTGACCTTCAGCCCTGTGAGTTCAGTTGTTTTGGGAGGTGAGAGGTGTTGGATAGGGTTGGAGTCAGCAATGTTCACCAAGTGCCTCAAAAGAGTGTCGGCCCACGGGGGATACCCCCAGCCTAATACCAGCCCTGCCTCCAGGGACTTGCAGTCAGTTCAGTACGTGAAAAGGGCCTGAAGGGGCTGACCCGGTGTGGCTGGAATTACTGAGAGTACAGTCTAGTTCCATGGCGGCCCTGCAGGCAGATTTCAAGAAAGTGGGTCTTTGTGTGGTAGCAACAAGTGCCGTGGCTGGAAAGGCCCAGCCTGGAGGGTTGCTGGGCTGCCTGGTGATGGACCCATGCTGGACAGTCCACAGAGCTCCTCCCGTGATGTCTCATCTTCCCAACAACCGTGGGAAGGAACAGCTGTTATGAGCCTACTCTACAGATGAGGAAGCTGAGACCCACAACTTGCCCAGGGCACAGAGACAGCCAGGGAGCAGTTGCCAGGCAGCTGGCCCCAAGTCCAATGCTTTGCTCCACAAGCTGCTGTCCTCCAGAAGGGAGGTGCACAAAGCCAGAGAGAAATGAGGGACCTAACAGGATGAGAAAGCCAGACTTTGCTGGCTTAACAGTTTCACTCCAGCTGGCCCTGCCTTCCTGTCCTGAGCAGAGGTTAAAGGAAACTGCGGAGGAAAGGTCAGGCTGGGAGAGAAGCAGGAGCTCGCCAAAACAACCCACACCCTGCTCTCAATGCGCCAGGCCTGCAAACTAGGTGTAGGGGCAGCAAGGAGAAAGGAGCAGGACCGCCCTGCCCTAGAAACGCTCTCAGCCTGCAGGGGAGAGGGCCCGAAAACTGCGTGGGAAATGCAGCGGGCAGGGGGCCGGAACACCGACGACGCAGGGCTGGGCCTGTGGATTCCAGGCCCTCTCTCTGCCCCAAATCCCCTCCTCCCATCGCCAGCCACACCCTGACCATCCCAGGCCCGCTCCTTCCCTCCTCTGAGCGCCTATCACACCCCTGCCCAAACCCATCATTTAGCACTTGGCTTATTAACCCTCAGATGACTTTTTATTGTATGTCAAGGTCCACCTCCCCGACTAGATCAGAATCTCCTCTAAGGCAGAAGCTTGTCCTCCCTGTCACTGTGACATTGAGTAAATTTTTGTGAAGGAAGAAGGTTATCTGAGAAGTGATCATTTCGGGTAATGCAGTGGTATGTTTAGGACAGAAGTTGGACAGCGGACCCAAGCCGCCGCCCCAGGCCTCCGCGACGTCATCGGGCTTGTGACGTCACTGTCGTTGGCCTCGGCGGCGCTCCGCAGCCTGCAGGCGGGATGACGTCACCGTCGGAACCGGTGCAGACGAGTGCGCGCTGGAAGAATCAGCGAGGCTGGCGGCTGGAGATGCCCGGGGAGGGAGCGGGTAGGAAGCGACCGCGAGAAAGCAGAAGCCGAGCCGAGTCCACTCTCCCCGGGCCGCGCGCCTGCACCACAGTACGGCCTGGCTCCGCCCCGCCCCGCCCGACGCGGGCCAGCCAATCCGGGCGGGCGGCGGACACGCGCAGCCTGTCAGCGGCGGGCTCGCGGGCGCTTCCGCGTTCGCCTACGCCGGCCTGCTCTTGGGGAGGGGGCGCGGGCGGCTGGCCGAGCGCTCGTCCACGTCCCGCCCCGCCCCGCCCGGCCGGCGGTCTGCAGGACCGGCGGCCGCTCCCAGGGGACCGATGGCTTCGGAGGGCCTGGCAGGGGCGCTGGCGGCGGTGCTGGCGGGCCGGGGCCTGCGCGTGCAGGGCTGTGACTCGGGGCCGGCCGGGGAGCCCCTGGCGCCGGCGCGGCTGCGGAAGAACGTCTGCTACGTGGTGCTGGCGGTGTTCCTCAATGAGCAGGTGAGCGTCCGCCGCCGGCCGCCGGCCGCCGCCCGGGCCCCGCAGCGCGCAGCTCGCCGGCGGGCCAGAGGACCCCCCCCGGCCACGCCACCCCCTTCTCGTGGGTGGCGCTTCCCAGTTTTGCAAAGCACTCTCACTTACGCATACATCTTGTGAGGCCCAGCCCTGCGATTGTTCCCTTAGACGGAGGAGGAAACTGAGGCCCGGGAGCCTTTTTGTCCCATCCCACTAGGCCTCAGTTCCTTGAGGGGAGGGCTGTCTTATTTTTGTTCCTCTTCCTTTCCCCAGAATCTAGCGCAGTGCCCCCTGCGGAGTGGGCTCTCAAAGATCTGTCCAGTGCTTCAGAGACTCCCCTGGGTCCCATGGACAGTAATGGCACAACCCGCGCTTACGCTCAGACTTTCTGACCACCTTGTGATGTTCTTTTTGGTGCTGATCCCTGTACAAGTTGCTGGAACAACAAACAGCTAGACGGGGCCAGGGCCATAAGTAGGAGTTGTATGGGTAGGGGGTGGGGGCGTGTTCCAAAGGCTAGACCCCAGTGTGGGGACCAGCCGCAAGCAGTTTGTAAACCACGGGGGAGGTGAGAGATACACAGTGACACATGCAGACACAAATCTGTGCAGGACACATGGCAGCCTCACTGTGGGGCCTGATTCCCAGCCCCTGAAGCAGCTCCCAGGAGTCCCAGCCCCTTTCTGAGATGGAAGTCTGAATGCAAAGAGGGATGAATTGCAGAGAGAGACAGCTGCAGCTCCCAGCCACACAAGGGCCAGTCCCCTGGAGAACTCAACAATTTGAGGGTGTTCACCGGGAGGGGGGTATTGGGCGACTGTATCTGAGATACAATCCGGCCCCAGGGCAAGGGAAGGCTGCTGGCTGTGCTGCTCCTCTGGAATCCCCAGCCTGGCTGTGGTGGGGTTGAGGATCCTCTCTCTCCCCTCAGGATGAGGTGCTACTGATCCAGGAGGCCAAGAAAGAGTGCCGTGGGTCGTGGTACCTACCCGCAGGGAGAATGGAGCCCGGGGAGACCATCGTGGAGGCGCTGCAGCGGGAGGTGAAGGAGGAGGCCGGGCTGCACTGCGAGCCCCTGACATTGCTGTCTGTGGAGGAGCGGGGCACTGCCTGGATCCGCTTTGTGTTCCTCGCTCGCCCCACAGGTACGGCCCAACAGGGGGCAATTGACACCTTTCCCCCAGCATGTCTACCGGTGAGATGAGCCCCTATTCTGGCTGATAGAAGCCTGGCATCTCCAGATTGCAGCCTGAGGACTTGACTGGGCTCCCCGCTCCCCTGGGTCAGAGCTAGAATGCCTGGGTGGCATTTGCTCTGCCAGGCCCAGCACTTCTCTCAACATAGACCCTTCCCCCACCCCATGCCCCACATCTCCCCCAGGTGGAATTCTCAAAACTTCTGAGGAGGCAGATGCAGAATCCCTGCAGGCTGGCTGGTACCCACGAACCTCCCTGCCCACTCCGCTGCGGGCCCATGACATTCTGCACCTGGTAGAGCTAGCTGCCCAGTATCGCCAGCAAGCCAGGCATCCTCTTGTTCTGCCCCAAGAGCTTCCCTGCAGTCTGGTCTGCCAGCGGCTCGTGGCTACCTTTACCAGTGTCCAGACAGTGTGGGTGCTGGTGGGCACAGTGGGGATGCCTCACCTGCCCATCACTGCCTGTGGCTTCACCCCCATGGAGCAGAGAGGTGGCATCAAGATGGCCGTCCTGCGGCTGCTGCAGGAGTGTCTGACCCTGCACCACTTGGCAGTGGAGACCAAGGGGCTGCTTGGACTGCAGCACCTGGGAAAAGACCATACAGATGGCGTCTGCCTGGATGTGCTGGTCACAGTGGCTTTTCGCAATCCAGGCATCCAAAACGAGCCCCCGAAGGTGCGGGGTGAGAGCTTCTTTTGGTGGAAGGTGATGGAGGAAGACCTACAAAGCCAGCTCTTACAGAGGCTTCAGGAATCATCTGTCGTGCCAGTCAACAGATAGGAAGGTGCCGTCACTGGGCAAGGAGCTGGGCATCTGTGCTCCTCTCCGCCATGGCTTTGCCTCCCTCTGAGGAAGGCAGGAGGTTGGCAGTCAGGGATCTTGTTGCATTGGGAGCAGGGTAGTTCTTCTGGCTCTCAGGGGCACTTCCATCTCTCCTCACTGTGGAGCAGGTCCCTACATTGTACCAAAAGAGACAGTGCCTTTCACCAAGCAAGGAGTCCAGAGCTCAAGGACCCAATTGCCCTGAGGGCACTACTCCCTAAGGGGATGTGAGAACTTTCTGAACCTGAGATGGCATCTACTCATCATCTTCTGTGCCCACCCGCCTTGGTAAAGCTCCACATCTGGGGTCTCAGGCACTTAAGACATGGAGAGGATGCTGGGGGAGGTCTTTCCAAGGGAGTGGGCCCCTTGCTGAGTAAATAGGTGTTCCTTACTTTGCCTTCCCGCCTAAATGTCTCTGTGGGCAAGAAGTGAGCAGGCAGGGGTACTGAAAAGCTCCTCCCCTTGTCCCACCAACAGCTACCCAGGCCTTCCCAGGTGGCAAGCTGCCATGCAGGTGATGGGGCAGGCAGGCTTCCTGCCCCAGCCCCCTGCGGCTCCCTTCGTCTTGCCTGCCAAGGAGGGATGTGAGCACGTCCTCAGAGAAAACAGAACTCTAGTCCCTCCAAGGTTTGAGCAGTGAGAAGGCCAGGAGAAGCTTCCAGTGGGCAAGGAGTGGTGGGAGCTGCCCCTGCCTCTCTGCCGGAGTCTCTCTCCTTGAGCTTCTCCCATGATCCCTTCCCAGTCACTCTGCCAGCCCCCAGGCTCCTGCCTCTGCCTTTCTACAACTCCAGCTCAAGCCAGACTCAAACCCTTTTTTTATTTCCCCTGAGCTCAGCTTAATCATGGTAAGAATTATTTTCTTAAAAAAAGAACTTTATGAAAATTTAAGGGAAAATCAAAGGAAATGAACAAAGAATACATTGTGCGCTCCTCACTGTGTCTAATGTACAGATTTCCGATCCTAAGCAGGGAAACACTGGACTGGGCTTCCCTTCTGAGCTGACTCCACTCTGGCACTGAAGGACCAGGATAACCTCAGAGGCCTCCTTCCCAGCTCCTCCTTGCCTCTCTTGGCTGCCATCTTGTCTTTCTGGCCTCTGGGGTTGTGGTAGGAATTCTCTTGTCCCTTTGGAGGACATCTTCCAAATGATGGAGCCAAACCCTCACTCTGACTCACTTCTCTCTGTGTCTGAGGGACCCACTAGTCCATACCCACATTGAAGGGCGATGGTCTTTGCTCCCATTATTTAGTCTATAGTAGTTTTCAACTCTAGCTGCCCATTAGAATCACTTGGAGAGCTTTAAAAATAACTCGGGGCCCACCCCCCGAGATGCTGATTTAACCGGTGGAGGGTGGCGCCAGGCGGAATATTGGTATTTTTTTTTAAATTTTATTTATTTATTTATTTTCCCCCCCAAAGCCCCAGTAGATAGTTGTATATCATGGCTGCACATCCTTCTAGTTGCTGTATGTGGGACACGGCCTCAGCATGGCCGGAGAAGCGGTGCGTCGGTGTGCGCCCAGGATCCGAACCCGGGCCACCAGCAGCGGAGCGTGTGCACTTAACTGCTAAGCCACGGGGTCAGCCCAAGGAATATTGGTCTTTTAAAAAGCAACCCAAGTGCTTCTCACATGCACCTAGGGGAGAGCCACTGATCAGCCCTCTCTTAAGCCTTCAGCTTGCCCTGTCCTGGAGTACTCTTGGTGACCCCCTCAAAGGATCCCCACCCCCATATATTTAGGGACAAGGTTTTTATAGCATCAGGCCTGCCGTTCACCATGAAAGCAGTCATACAACTCACAACATAAGCACCTAAAAATGAGACTTGCATCGAGATGCTCCAGATGGCCCATTCCCTCACGGTGACTCTGAGTTGTAGGTAAGCTGAGCAGAAATAGTGTTGTCTGGCCAAGAGAGGGGCTGGTCCTGGCAGGCACTGAGGAACATAAGATTTGCACTGCCAGAGCCTGTCTCTGTTTACCACCCCCCAACACGCGGCCCCCCTCTGCTCTAGGGCTGGAAAAGGAATTTAACTTGTCTTCCCTCGGGAGGAAGATGGGCCTGAATTAGCAGTGGAGCCCTGGGCAGAAAGACGCGAAGGGTGGAGAACAGGGTGGCTGTGTCCACGCAACCACACCATTTATTGCCATGCTGTTTGGGGGGACACTGTGCGAATGCTGACGAAGTGCATTGAGGAGGGGAGTGTCTGACTCCCAGACACTTGAATGTTGCTTAAACTTTGCTTTTTGAATCAAAGTCCAGACCCAATTTGCCCACTGAGCTCTGCTCCCCGTCCCACACCCACACCCACATCCATGTGCACACATGCATGCATGCACATGCACAGTATCCTTCAGAGCAGCCGTGAAGTCCTCCCCAGCTTGGAGGAATGCAGGAGAGGTAGAGGTCATTGAGTTTCTCTTTCATGTCACCTCTTGGCAACCTGCAGCCGGCTTCTAGAAGTGGCATGGGCAGGAAAAGGAAGTGAGTGGGGCTTGGGCCTGCTCCTCCTTGCCCAGGAGCAAAGCCAGCAACTGCAGTCCTGCTGTGAGGTAATGCCTGGCGCCACCTATGTGTTCCTGCAGGTTGAGACAGATTCGGGCTGGGTGGGGTGGCAGCCCCAGCTGTGGAGGGCATGTAGGGAGAACAACACCATGACTGGCTGCCTGTGCCCCAGCCCCTCCCCTCCAGGCCTGGGGGGCGTGTTGTCAGTGGGCATCCTGGCTTCATCTGTACCCTGAGCTCCCTTGCTCCCCTGGAAGAATGTTCCATTGAAAACACCAGGGGCTTGGCAGAATGCTAAGGGCAAGGCCTGGCCTCCAGGTCTCTGAGCCCCTCTGCCCAGGTGTCGTGGACCTGCTGAAACAGGTTGAGAAGGCGCCAGATAGAAAGCCGCTGGAGCCTGGCACCCAGCCCCCCCCAGCTCCCCAGGCCCTCTCCTGCCCTGGCTGCAGCTGCATCAAGGTTCTCATTAGCAGCTGCCCCCGCCTGGGTGCGGAGCAAGCTTTGGGCATTTGCCATGAGGCGGTTGGGAATTTTGCAAGTCTCCAGGAAGAGGGGGCTTCCCCTGCCGCCCACTGCCCCTTCCCCAAGGGTTAAGACAAGAAGGCAGGAGAAAAAAAATGTCAAGTCTCAGCAGCATCCGTGGTACCTCCTATGACAGAGACAGGGCTCCATACCCCCATCTCTCTGGTCTATGGTCCTGATCAGCCTCAGAGCCATCAGCTCACTCCCCCTTGTGCCCCTGGAATTGAGTCACAGGTAATGGCCTGTAGGGGCAGGTGACAGGCACAGAACACACGAGGGTCTGGGTCTGGATGCTCACCTGGCCGTCACCCAGCTCCCGAGACGTCCCTGAGGACACCATGCTGCCTGGGAGAACATCTCAAAAGAATGCCCGTTGGTTTCTGGTACCTTGTAGACCCACTCCCTAAAGCCCAGGCTGGGGTGCCCAACAAGGCAAGGTCTTCTTGAGATAACCTGGGAACCAAGCCCAGGCCTCTCAGAGGCAGAGGTCTCTGGGATGTAGAGGAGACGGAGCCAAGCCCCTGCCCCGGCGGGGACAGTGGTGGCAGTGCCAGGTGGGCGGCAGCTCCCAGGCAGAGATGCAGACAGGAATCTCCCCTCCTGCTGTGCTCCTGGCTCAGACATGCCCTTCCGGGGCTGGGGAGAGGCGCAGGTGAGGACCATGTGGGGGGAACTTGACAAAAGCAATGGCAGCCAGCTCCTTGCAGAATTCCTCAAGTACTACCACGCCCTGAAGGAGGGTCTGGTGGTCCAGCCTGAGGGAGAGAGTGCGTAGGTCATGGCTGGGAGGCTGCGGGAGTTGCCCAGCGTGACATGCCAGTGTCCATGAGGCAGAACCCAGTGGCAGACCCTGCTGAGTGAGGACTGAGCTCACCAATGGGCCCTCCTCTGCCCCGCGTGGTGCCTCCTCCCTGCCGCAGCACTCCGCCTTCCCACCCCAGGGCTCTTCCTTGGGCACCCACTTCCTTGGTTACTTACTGCTCCCCAGGGACCTGACCCATCAGCTGCTTGCGCACCAGGAGCAGTTTGCCTGGGAACTGGGGTACCCTCTGAATTCTCTGCATCAAGTCCCCAATCACCTAGAGAGGAACAAGAGAGGACTGAGGAGGGGCTAGCGACACTCCTGCAGGGTCCCCGGGCTCTACTGCAGCATGGGGGGGGATACCTGAGCTGTCCCCTGGCACTGGCAAGGGTGCCCATTTCTACAGCCCCCAACTCCCCATCCTGTGCCCCTCCCTTGCTGCCCCCACCGCTGGCACAGTCCCTGGGGTCCACGCATGCTTACCCTCACAAGGACAGAGAACAGGCTCCTGCAGCCAGGGGCCAGGTTGATGTAGGGATCCAGGAGGTACTCGTGGATGTGGGGGTGGGGGAAGAGGGCGAGCCGGGACAGGACTGAGGTCACTTGCAGGTTCAGGCTGTATGGCTGTAGGGAATACGGTGGACAAGCCGAGGGTTGGCAGGGGTGGCGAGCATTTTTGCACTCCCCCACCAAGGCGCCTGGCCAGTGTGAACGTGTGTGGGGGTGAGAGACTCACATGATGTGAATGTGTCATGGATTCCCTGAGGCTGAGGGCCAGAACGTGTTAGGGCGTGTGGAGCAGGGGCAAGATGGGGCCTCCTGCCTGGGGAAAGGTGGGGGTGGAGGTGCTGTGGAGCTGAAGGACCGAAGACAACTCGACCCCCATGGTTGGGCCCTGCTCTCCTGGAGGATTCCAGAGGCACTAGCCTGGAGTGCACCTGTGGGCCCTGGCCCTGTGGTGTGGGCCCCAGTCCTGTTGGTACCTGTTCCAAAATCCGGGACATGCGGTCAAACAGCATTCGGAGGAAGTGACCCTCAAAGAAAGGCCGTTCAGGCTCATGGGGGTCCAAGGGAGTGAGACTCTGAGGCCAGCCCCAGGGGGCGACTCGGGAGCTGCATTCCTGGAACTGAAACAGGAGGAAAGAGCTGAGGAGGTGGGCCCAGGGTCAGGGGTCAGGAGGCCCCCCAGAGGGGCCACGCAGGAAGGATGCGCTCAGGGCTCTTAGCCAGAGCTGCAGGAGAGCACAGAGGGAGCAGGCGGAGCTGATGAATCCCACGGCTCTGAGGGATGAGCAGTGGCGCCGGCAGAGGCTCGACTCACCAGTCCGTAAGCGTCGTGGACATACGTGTCGTAGCCAGTCTCCTCCAGGAAAGCTGAGGTCTTGGCTTCCTCAGGAACCAGGCAGAGGAAGCTGAGAGACAGGACCCTAGGTGTGGAGGGGTCCCACCTGGGCCACCCTGCTCTCCCCTGCTCCGTCTCCAGCCCTGAGGGAACACTCCCTCCCTGGCTGCACCCCGTCAGGGCTATGGCCAAAGGCGGAACAACTCAAGTGGCTCAGGTTTCCTGACCTGCTCCCTACCTGTTGACGATCTCGGTCACTGCTGTTTTGCCATCTGAGTTGGTGGCAGGGGCTGGGGGTGGCTTTGCAGGGGGTTGAAAGCCAGAGTCAAGGAGGCCGTCGGTGAAGTAGTAGGGGTCTTCCTCCAGATCTCTGTGGCCAGGGCAGACAAGCGTGACACCAGGGAATGAACGGACGAGTATGGGGATGCTGAGGGCCAGGCTGGGTCCTGAGCAGTGCAAGGCCTCCCAGAGGTGCCGGTTTCACTTACAGGGTGTCCTCGTAGCTCTCGGGCTCTGGTGAGCCCCGGGCCACATAAGGGCGTCCCTCAAGGTTGCACAGGATCAGGCTGCGGATGATCTGCTCATGGGGCTTCTGGAGCAGCTCCTCAAACAGCCGCAGTGTGGCGATGCTGATCTGGGGCAAGAGGGGGTCAGCAAGACACCTCTTCCCCACCCCGGCTTCTAGGGGTGCCTAGGGATTGCTTACCCAGAAAGTAAAGTCCCCAGGGAGGGTCACTTCCCCCGGCCAGGGGCTAAGGTGGCAGGCTTTAGGGGGCTTGGGAACAGGAAGTCTGGCTGGTCTCAGTTCCATCACTAATTTGATGTGCAGTATCAGGCAAGCCAGTTGGCTTCTCTGTGCCTCAGTTTCCAAGTCTGGAAAATGGAATATCGGCCTCATCTACCTCACAGAATGGCTGTAAGCCTCAAATAAGCCAAACGAATATAAAAGCAGTTTGCAAAATATTGAGTGCCATCACAAGTATGTGGTCACATCGGGCCGGCCCCGTGGCTTAGCGGTTAAATGCGTGCGCTCCGATGCTGGCAGCCCGGGTTCGGATCCCGGGCGCACCCCGACGCACCGCTTCTCCGGCCATGCTGAGGCCGCGTCCCACATACAGCAACTAGAAGGATGTGCAACTATGACATACAACTATCTACTGGGGCTTTGGGGGAAAAAATAAATAAATAAATAAATAAAATTAAAAAAAAAACAAGTATGTGGTCACAGAAAATTGCTGTGTGACAAAAGCAGTCTGGCTACCAATCACTGTGTCACTGTGTTGGCAGGGGAGTTTCAATGCCTCAAAGGCAGAACCACCTAGAAAGCTAATGAAAATGGGAAGAAGCTCTCAGGAAATCCCTTTGGCAAGGATGGGTGGGAACACGTAGAGACGAGCGCCCTCCCACCTCACCTCGTCAGAGAGGTGGTCGCAGTGCCCGATGAGGTGAGAGCACAGAGTGTAGGGGCTGTCCTCGAGGGCTGCAGCCTGCTGATCCGGGCCCAGGAGAAATGTCACGGCCTCCCGCAGCAGCGCAGGGGAGCAGAGCTGGCGCAGCATGGCCGTGAGCAGGGCGGTGGAGGTCAGGATGCTCTGCTCAGACCTATGTGGAGAGAGCACTGAGCGGGCCTGGGGTGCACGGAGCCAGGTGGCGAGGGGGGACCAGAGAAGGAGTGGGCAGTGAACGAGTGTGGCTAGTATTTCTCTGCTCACTTCCTGTCCCTCCTGAGGTGCTGGAGTCCCAGGACGGGGGCCTTTGTTAGCCCACGGGGAGCCACGTGTGCGTCAAGGGGGCAGGCCTGGCAAACTAACCAATGGAGCCCACACACTCACGTGACTCTGGCCAAGGAGGTCCCTGGCCTTAGGGACAGGAAGGGCTCGGTGGGGTGGGCGGTTCGATCCAGACCATGGCTGCGCCCCAGGGAACTGGACATAAACTTACACGTGCAGGAGCTGGGGCTGCAGAATCTCCACGAATAACTTCTCAGCCACAGCCTTTGCCAAGGCATCTGCAACCACCTGGCACCAAAGGGCATGCCTTACACATGTTTTCTGCTGAGAAATAACTGTGTCCTTGCACAGCATCTAACACAACAGGCAGACGGTCCCTGCTAACCCGGGGCCCTGCCTGGCTCCTGCAAGACCCACTTGGTCCTCGAGGCAGAGATGGCCAAGGAAGCAGGGTGAAGCGGCGGCACCCGCACCGAGAGCCCTGTCAACACCCATCCCTGCTCACCGGGTGTGCCTCTGTGACGAGGTGGTCGCAGTAATCAAACCAGCCCAAAAAGGCCGCCAAGGCCTCCTTGCCAGGGAAGGAAGCCTCATCAGACGGGGCACTGGGTAACCTGAAGGAGAGTGCGGGAGGAGCTATGAGGCCTGACTCAGGGATGTTCTGGAAGCTGGGCCTTTTCTCCCTCTGCCCTGGAACCGCTGTTGCAGGGTGGGGGATGTCCAGTTCTACTGGGAGCTCTGTGGGCAGAAGCAAAAGTGATGCTTCCCTGGAGGGCGAGAAGGCCCTTGGGGATGGGCTGTAACCTGGGGAACAGGGTGGCCAGCAGAGGTCCCCATTCCTCCTGGAAAGCAAGAGGTGGATAGGCGGGGCTTTTAGCCACGGAAGACAGATGTGGCCCAGCCTCCCCTGGCCAAGCGCCTACCTCCAGCTGATGCCCTCTAGAGTGGCAATGTCCGCGGGGTCCAGGAAGGTGGGCATGGACTGGTATAGCTGGCACAGGTGCTCGACGATCACAAGGCAGCAAGGGCTGCTCTGCACCAGGTAGGTGGCGGCTGCCTGGGAAGCTACGCTCACCAGGAGCAGCAGGTTCTCCCGGGCCTTCAAGGCCACCCGACTTTTCTAGGGGATAGAGGGACAACTTTAAGGACATGCATCTGAACCCCCAAGTCCCCTCCTGGCAATTCGCCCTCCCCGTCCCTGGCAATTCACCCTCCCTGTCCCTGCCCGCTCCGTCTTGGCACTAGCACCTTGCTCCTGCACAGCCCAATCAGGCAGGTGACCAGGTTGCTCTCCCCAGTCCCTCCATCTGGCTCCTCGGTCTCAGCAGGCAGCTGGGTGGTCCAGGCCCGGGCCCCACAGGGACCCGGGTCGGGAGTCTTGCTATGGGGGCGGTCCTTGTCTCCGACACTGGCGGCTGCTCTAGGCAGGGTGGAGGGTTCTCTGGATGCCTTCTTCCTACTGACAATCCTTTTACCCTGCAAAGGAGATCGGATATGGCCAGGCTGTGGCGGAGACCATTCCCCATGATGCCCCCTTGGGAATGCAGGATGTGCTGGCTGTCAGAGCCTCAGCATGGAGCTAGAGGGGAAGCCATCTGTGTACCTCCCCAGGTACCTGCTCCATCCCTCTGCCTCCTCAGAAGGGCCATGAGGGGCTTGCCCTGAGGTCTGGGCCCTCCCACTCCTGTCCCCACAGAGGTGCTCACTTCTAGGATGTAGGTGAGCAGATCTGGATCCTGCTGGATCTTGGAGCAGAGGACAGTGGTGAACTGCACCTCCTCCTTTTCCGTGAGGGATCCAGGAACTGTCCCACCAAGTTGCAGAAGTTTCTGGAAAGGGAGCAGGGTAGAAACAGAGAAGAATGGGTGGCAGGGAAGAGAGGGCCCCCCACAGAACCCCCTTGGCTTCCTTTCCCCTCACCTGCACAGGCCTGTGGACGCTGAGGTAATGCAGGAGGGGGTGCTGCACCTGGGCCAGAACCCTGCTGAAGAACTGGAGTACCTGCTGCCGCATGCCTGGGGGGTACTGAGGGCCAGAGGGCGGTACTCTCAGAGGGAGCCCGCAGAGCCTCACGCTACTCCCCAGAGTAGGGCGTGGCCCGCCGTCATCACTGCTCAGAGGGCACCTCATCTCTCCCTGTTTTAAACCGGCCTCTCCTGTGGCGCCCCCCTTCCTGCTGGTTCCCTCCATCACCCTGTCATTAATGCATGTGCCGTACGCGGGCTGTGATTACCCTGCCTCCCGACTAGCATTTCTGTCTGTTTTAGTCACTGCGGTCCCCAGCACCTAGGACACAGCCTGGCACATGGCAGGTCCTCAGTAGGTTTTCGCTGAATGAAATGCTGCTGAACCTCGGCAACAGCGAGAACAGGACACAAAGACAATAAACAAGGGTGAGAAGCCTCGGGAGGGGGTGGGATGTTCTAAGTGACACGGCGGCCACCCCTCCCCCCGCCCAGTGTTCAGACTGGAGGAGCACAGGTAGAGGAGCCTGGACCCCAGGGGCCCTGGCTTGGGAAGGAAGGTTCCAGAGGCCCCGGGGTCCTGCCCACCTCGGCCCTGCCCAGTGTGCACAGGGTCTCGAGGATCCTGTGCTGCAGCAGGTACTCCAGACAGGGCCCCGCCTCGCCGGCCGACACCTGCTGCCTCTCCTCGTACACCAGGATGTCCAGCATCTGCTTCAGCCGCCAGGGAATATCTGTTTTCTTGGCTGGGGTGTTTTCATCTAATGGAGATGCAGGCAACAAGGGTGAGTGGGGTGAAGAGGGGCACTCTGGCCTGATGGGGTCCAGCCCGCAGGGTCTGGGGGTGGGGAAGGCTGAGGGCAACCTGGAGGGAGGCCACCTTAGCAGTTTGCTTCAAATAAAGACCAGAGGAAATGGAAGTTTACAGCTGAGGCCTGTATATTGAAAAAGACAAAAGACCTAGCTAGGCCCAGGACACAACTCTCTGGTTGAGAATGTGTGCAGACCCTAGCACTTTATCAGGGGGCAGCAGCATCATTTTTTCTCCAAACCCTGGGCCCTACAGAAACATATGTCACCAGGGCTGCAGGCTCTGGGCCTGAGTGAGAAGCCGTGAGTCAGGGGTCTCTGTCATATAATTGAGAAGCCGTCTTCTAGCTGCTTCCTGACAGTTAACCTCCTGGCGCCTGCTTATGTCCCTTTTACACTCACGGAAGGCAATTCTCTGCTTGTTAAAAAGCAGAAAAACAAGTCCATGCACAACCATGGGTTCAAACTCGAACCTGCTGCTCTGTGCCAAAATCCTCATAGAGGGGCTGGTGAGTGGGGCTTTCTTAGAGTCTCAGAGGGTAGAGTGTTTTTACAAAGAAGGGAGACTGGCCTTGGAGCACCTCTGAGTTTTTCCTGAAAGCACAGGCTCTTGAGCAAGGCAGCTGCCTCCCCACCTGCACCTCTGGTATAGGGACCGTTCTGGAAATTAACGATTGGGCCCAGGTGAAGTCCCAGGTGGACTCGAGTCAGTTCTGGATCTCCCTCCACTCTCCTGGTAGACTGGGGCTCTCTGTCAAGAGATCTTCCACTTATAAGATGAATAAGTCCTGGGATGTAATGTACAGCATGGTGCCTATAGTTAATAATACTGTATTGTATGTTTGAAAATTGCTAAGAGAGGAGATCTTAAAAGTTATCATCACAAGAAAAAACATTTTTTTTTGTAACTATGTATGGTGACACATGTTAACTAGACTTGTGGTGATCATTTCACAATATATCCATATACTGAATCAATGTATTATACACCTGAAACTAATATAATGTTATATGTCAATTATATCTCAATAAAAAGAAATGTTCAGTCTAAAGTAGTTGTTCTCAACTGGGGGTGATTTTGCCCCCCAGGGGACACTTGGCAACATTTGGAGAGACATTTATGGTTATCACAACGGGGAGAGGGTGCTGTTGGCATCTAGTGGGTAGAGGCCAGAGTTGCTGCCAAACCTCCTACAATGCCCCCCACAGCCCCCACAACAGAGTGATCCAGTCCAACGTCAACAGTGCCAACTGAGGAATCTGGTCTAAAAGAATGCCCAGAGGGTCCCTCAGGGGGTCCAAAGGGCACTTTTTAATTGCTTGGGCTGGCTCAGGCTGGAAGTAAAGCCTGTAGGAAAGGTGCAGGCTGGAATCAAACCCCAGCCTGAACCAGGAGGTGGAAAGCTACGGATGCAGGACATGGTTACCTGGCAACCAGTGTGTATCTACCAATACAGTGTACTGACTCAAGGCAGCCAATCAGATCCCGCCCCCTCCATGAGGGATTCTGACCGGCCCAGGTGACCTGAGGCTTTGGCTCTCTGGGGCGGCAGTTTGGGGAGAAGGATCCAGTCCCGGTACACGCTGTGGTTGTTGTTCCCCTCCTCTCCTAGATCTCTATAAGGGAAATACCCTCTAAGTTGGCTCAGGGAAAAGAGGAATTTATTCAGTTTCTTTTCTTTAAATCAGTAAGCCCCGGGCACAGGCACTTGCAGACTGAAGGCCTGGATGCTCTACCCAGCTGGAGGCTGGGGGTGAGGGGAGCTCAACCTCGGCCTTGCAGAGTCAGGCCAGTGAGACCCCCAACCTCCTTGTCCCCACACCCATCTCACACAGCTTCTCTGCCTAAAGGTGAGGGTGGGGCCAGCCCCCACTCTGACCTCCTGGACAGTGGGTGTCACCTTCCCCAGGACATCTGTGTCTCTGAGCTACATGGGGACCCTGCCTACACCTTCCTCCCCACTCACTACAGGGGTCCCCAGGTTGGGGGAGACGAGGCCCCACCTGTGCTTTCGATGTAGTAGTGTGTGATGCCCTTCCAATGCTCCACGAAGGCCTCCAGCAGGTTAATGCTGGGCTCCCGCTGCGGAGAGAACAGAGACACAACCTAAGCGGCTGCCATAGCGATCACGGGCTCTGCCGCAACCAGCACTCATCAGAACAGACATTCCACCATCTATTAAGTGTCGGGTCGGTGCTGGGCCCTGGAGGAGGCACTATGATCCTGGGTTCTCAAAGGGAAAAGTAACACATTTTCTTGAGGACACATCTGCATTGTCTCCATATCTTGCCAATAATCTCCTGGCACCTCTTCCCAGACCCCCTCCCTCCCAGAGATGCTATATTCCTGCTACATGCCATGATTCCACAGTCCCTGTCCCAGAGGAGCTATGAATGTTGGTGGGGGAAACAGACACAGAAACAGATCATTTCAATACAACATGGTTATGCTATAATACAGCTACACAAAAGAAACAGGGGAGCACCCCCAAAACAACAAAATCCAAATGATACAGATGGAAAACATGGCAAAGACAAAGCTTTCAGGTCCCTCTCAAGCCAAGAGTCTGCGGAAATCTGTGTTCAAGGCCGACAGGCCCAATCCAGTCAGATGGGTAACGTCAGGCGCCTTACACATCATGTGCTCGCACCTTGGGTCCAAGGCCCAGGCTGAGCACCCCATCTCCTCCTGAGCTAGCTCTGCTCCTGTCCATGCCTCCTCTGTCTCCTTCTACCGCCACCAGAGAATTCTGATTCCGCTACGTGTAAGCCCTAACCTTCCCCTTTTCCAGAAGTGCTCTCTCCATCTCCACGCTCTGGCTAGAACTGGCCTTGAACTGATAACTACCACCTTCCCCAAAAACTTCTCCCAAAAAGGGCATTTCTTCCCTTTCCTTGCAGAGTAAATGTTTGCAGAAGAAAAATGCATAGTCAAATAGTCCCTACCCACAGGTGCTCATTTCTACCTCTCGGTTTTGGCTCAGGCCACTCCTCTGCCCAGGAGGTCTTATATCCCCTACACTCTTCTAGATGCTAACAGTCCCCAGGGAGGTCCAGCTAAGGGCCACCAGCTCCACAAAGCCCCCTCCAGGGTTCCTGGATACGTCGCTCTCTAACCTCATGCTTTCCTGCACCACAGAACTCAGTGCTTACTCCTTAGAGAATTCATTTGTTCAGTATTTTCTGAGTGCCTACTACATACAAGACCCCATGCCAGATGCCACAAGCAATGCAAGGATGGCTAAGATCCAGTGCCATGGAGGAGAAGAGAATATAAAACTGCACCGAATACCTCCACTACAGAAAGTAGTGTGAGGGGTCAGCCTAGTGGCGCAAGTGGTTAAGTGCGTGCGCTCTGCTGCAGTGGCCCGGGGTTCACGGGTTCGGATCCCGGGCGCGCACTGATGCACCGCTTGTCAAGCCATGCTGTGGCGGCCTCCCATATAAACTGGAGGAAGATGGGTACGGATGTTAGCCCAGGGCCAGTCTTCCTCGGCAAAAAAAGAGGAGGATTGGCAGATGTTAGCACAGGGCTGATCTTCCTCACAAAAAAGAAAAAGAAACAAAGTAGTGTGAGGACATAGGAGTGAACAGAAAATGACCTCAGGGAAAAGAGGGGTTGCATCTCACAGGCTGGAACAGAGAAGGCTTTACTGAGGTTATGCTGGAACAAACACATGAAGAACACGGTCTGATTTCAACAATTAGAGATGAAGGAAAGATATTTCCTACAGAAGGAACTCTGCAAACTGTGTCTGGCGCAAGGATGGCTTGACAAGTGTGTGGGGCCTTGAACGCCAGGCCAAGAAGTCAGGATACTTTTTTTGCAAGCAGGGGGAAGCAGGTCAACGACATCTTTTGAGTGGTGTTTTAGGAAGAGTCATCTGGCAGTGGTATGTAGGAGACGAAGGGAGGAAGAAGGCTTAGAAGGCCCTTATGACAGGAAGAGAAAGCAACCACACTGAATCCAAGGGCTTGCAACACGCCCCCCAACACTGGGCTGCCGGTGCGACCTTGTCTCCCTTCCAAGTTAGTTGTGGGGGCCACGACCCTTACTGGAGTGGCACCTCCCACAGTCCTTCCAAACACACCGTCCACATGGGGTGACTGCATCTTATCACATTCTCTGTGATACTATTATTGTTGACTTAGCAGTCACCTCTTCTACTAGACTGTGAGCTCCCTGCGGGCCAGGGTTCTGTGTTTTACATCTCTGCCTGGCCCTCAAGGGCTCTGCACGTAATGACTACTCATTAATACTTAATAAATATCTCAGCAAACTCCCAAGATGTCCTTTCCATAGTTCCTTGTCTCTTGGAAAGCCCTCTGACCCTTGATCAGCACTACGATTATCTTACAATTCTGTGATGGGGTCTCATCTAGCCTCAGAACACATTTGTAGTCTCCTAAAACCCTGAGCTGGGCTTAAACAAGAAAAGAACAATCCAGTAAGAATAGGAGAAACAGGAGAACACAGATTAGCCAACACAGACTGTTGGAGAAGAAAGCAGGGGCATAAGGTTTACCTGAATCTATAATTAGCTACTATAACTCCAGACCAAATAAACTGTACCAAATGATTTATTTTTAAAGATATTATTTTTTGAAAGAATCGTACTGATTGCTATTCTGTCAGAAGAGGGCAGGAAGAAGCGAGCACTCTTACTCCTTAAGAAGGAGTCAGGCAACTTGCTGTGGTCTTAACCTGGTGACCCAGTCCAGGGGAAGACCTATGCCCAAGATGTGGGGGTGAGGGAAAAAGAGGGATTCCCATCTCTCCTGACTGTTACATGGGACCAGCCAAACTACTAGAGCTTCATCTATACATTGTATGCTGAGGAGCCTAAGAGGATCACCTGCCTAAAAATATCTCCCTTGACCACCAATACCTCCTCCAGCCACTGACGCTGAAAGGCCCGCATTGGAAGCATCAGAGCTTCACTTCTGAGGGCTGAGGTACTGTCGGTCTGTCCATCCGCCTTGTGCACAGAGATTCCTTGAGTGGTATGAAGTAGGTTATCAGATCACTTTCTAAGATGACAGCTGTTTTGACTGGGGACAGGGAGGAGGGGAAGGAGAGATCATTTTGGAACCCCTCCCGATGGGAGGCGTGGAGGACCCTGGACATCAGGAAGGGCAAGGTTGGGGGCTGTGGAGGGGAGGTGGAAGGAGCAGAAGCTTTTCACTTTCTGCACAAGCTTGCTTTAAGGCTGAGACTGTTTTCATTCATAATAAGCTCTGATTTGGGGGGGGGGGGTGTTGGGGAGGAAGGGGTGGAATCTAAGGCTGTTTTTCCTGAGAAAATTTGATACACTAAACTGATCAGTTAGGAGGAGGGCTCATACTAGGACACAAAAAAGAATTGTTAACTTTACAGCAGGATTCTTGGCAGGGTTACTTTAAATAGAGGGCATCCTACCTACCCTATTTAAACTGCACTGTTTTTTTGGTGAGGAAGATTGTCACTGAGCTAACATCTATGCCAATCCTCTATTTTGTATGTGGGACGCTGCCACAGCATGGCGTGATGAGCGGTGAGTATGTCCACGACCGGGATCCGAACCCACGAATGCCCGGCTGCTGAAGTGGAGCGCGAAGACTCAACCACTACGCCACCGGGCGGCCCCTAAACTGCACTTTTATCTTGCTGAATTAAGCGAACCCCAGTGGGCTCCCTCTGACCAGCCTTCAACCCCAACAGAAAGCGGCAAAAACACAAACCCCTCCTCCCCACAGGGCTGCCCAGGCCCCACGATGCTGGCCTCTCCTGACTCTAGGTGAAATGGCTGGGGCTGGGATGGCGTGACAACATCCTGGAAACCGCAGCAGGCTGTTCCTGGGCTAGGCGCCCACCCACCCCGGGACGGTGTGTCTACCCTTCCTGGGACTCGGCCAGCCGGCCTGCACTTCCCCAGCCGAGGGTGAGAGGGCACCCTGCGCCCGAACAAGGTCTCGGAGTTATCTGGGGCTCCATCGAGGGGGAAGGGGCGTCTCTTTTTTAAGCCCAGGTGACCAGGAAGGGAGGAGCACAGGGGAGCAGAAAGATGAACAGAGGCTGGGGGAGGGGACTTTGGGGGAATTTCGGGAAGAAACTATAGGGTGACAAGGGAGCATTCCAGCGCAGAACACAGAAGAGTGTGGGAATCGGGAGAGACTCGGGGAGCAGGAATATAAACAGGAAGCAATTTGGGGAGAAGGGTTAGGAGCTGGAGCGATCCGGAGAGAAAGCGCGACTGGGAAAGAAGCAACTGGAAGCAGGGCTGAGCGTAGGGCCGCGACCAGGGAGAGGAGGCCCAGGAGGGGCGCCGTGGCCTGGGGGGCCCTTCCCGGCGCCCCGCGCCC